ATTTCAAGGATACTACATCATCGAGTGTCGCCGAAGGACTGTTCCAATCTCCAGCATACTTGGAATTCCACCGAGGCCGCGTCCTTGGTTTGGGGGTAATTTCGAGGCTGTACATGGGTAGACTTCGCGTCCTTCAAATCCCCACAACGGACCAATTTCCCCAAATCTGTTGCGGAAAATGTAAGGCTGCACACTTGCTAGCCTGTTCCACTCTTCGTTTTCCGATTGCCAGAAAGGATTCTTGCCTAGCTTCTGAAGGAAGTGACTCGGAAGACATGTGCTACCAAGCAAGCATCCTCGCGATTGAGAAACGGCCAGGGAGTGTGTGTGTGTGAGATCCTGGTGGCTGCAGGCTGGGCTCACGTGAACAGCAGCAGCAGGATTGAGGCTGTGTGTGTAATGTGTTCATGTTTTAATAAATGCCCACACCGGGTTATATTTTTGGATGTTCTGCCTCTGCCTCCTTGCTTGGGCCGCTCAATTGTCAGCGTCACACACCTCGATCAGCTGACGGCAACAGGCAGGAATAAGGAGCCAACACACAGAGAGAACCACAAGGTCGCAGGCCTGTGCTCAGTGAGGGCAATAGAAACTGACAAACTGGGTCAAAGTTATGGGCCTAGGAAAATAATTTCTCAACAACAATAATAAACCTTAATTCAAAACCTTTGTATTTTATTCAAAGTGTATTTTTTGGGTTCCTTTTTTCTCCTTTTATTACGTAGCCTTTATTAATGCTTCCAGTATGCTGATGATGCCTGTCAATTAACCACTAAAACTACTCACTTTCATCCAGTGGTGTAAAGTAACTAAGCACATGTACTGTCATCCTACACCCTCTTCAGCGAGCGGCATAGGAAAGACAGGGCCCCCAGGTAGAGGGCTCCGCCTGTGCTTATAGAACTAGGGTTACAATACGTAACCCACCGTTTTATCTCACACAGGCTCCGCCCTCTACTGGACTCTATGGATACAGTGGGTGGAGCCCCGATGGATAAACACCCTCTCGTCCTACAACATCGACCCACCACACTGCCCCTGACCGGCCTTTGATTAACAGCCACCGCACCCAGGGCCGTCCCTCCCTACAGGCCGATCATGCAGACTGCGTGGGGCCTCACCTTGCGGAGGGGGCCTCATCTTGCTGAGGATGCGCAACCGTGATTTCATTGTAATACACGTTTCAAAATGATGCCGGAATAACTACATACTGATACCGGTTAGTAAAAAACATGAATTAATGCTTTGACAAGCCTGCAGACAACACGGCAGGCGAAAAACCTTTAAAATGCGTGTTTTCTGAATGGAGATCAGGTCAGGCTAAACTAACGTTGTAGCTGCTCCGTCCAAACTCATAACAACATGATACAGACACAGATACAACAGCGACTGTATTCACCATGACACAGACAGTCTGTGGTTTGTACATGTTTAACATGTGTCCAGTTTCTGAATATTTATGAGGAGCTGTGTGTGCTAACAGCTAACGGCTGATGTTTGGTTTTCTGATTCAACGTCAGTGACGGCAGGCTGAGATCCTCACCGCTGATTGACTACCGCGCGAACGCTTCATTCGCATCGCGTCCGGTGTGAAAGCACCAATGGTTTATGCACGGATAAAGAATGTTGTTAGAATTTTGAATTTGTAAGAATTGTGTTAAAATCACTAGTTAAATGTTAATGTTAAATGTTGCACTTGCATGAAGCTTCAGTGGATAAGCCTCAAAGTTAAAATGGTACTTTATGTTATCTGCTCACTGCAAGATGTTTTTTTGTTGTTGTTGTTGCTGTCAACAAAATAATGTACTCATTCACTCAAACATGGAAAATGGAAAATAAGCTACATACATTTATATTTAGAATTGTACTGAAGGAATTAATTAAACTTAAAATGATAGGTATGATGTAAAGATATTTATTTATCCTTTAGTTATGTTGTGTTCTTGGATTAATCAAATTGGAAGTTGCACCAAATGATTTGATGTAATTCAGATGCAATTAGCCTACATAAAAGGCCTCAAATTGGAAGTACTGTCTGGGCTGTCTTTTTCACTCAATTCTGCAATAAGTAGATCTCGCCTTTCACCAAGGCCGAGGTCGGGGATCTTGGGCTTAAAAAAGTTGGTGACCACTGGGATAGAGGCTCTAGACTCCTTTCTTCACACCACCGCTGGAATCCCAACCACTTCGTCCTGTAACAGGCTGTGGTGGATCCTGCTCTTGCTGCCTGGATAGTCAGAATAACCTTGTCAGACAGTCCACCCCGTCTCAGCCTGTCCCTCTCAGGAGCCAAGCCTGGAGAGGTTGGCCCAGGCCCCTGCTTCCTGAGACAACGCCCCCCCAGACCTGGAGCTACCAGGATGACTGACAATCGTCGTTCTCGTCTCACCGTCTCCAGGAGGGGGAGAATGAGACGCAGCAGTGGAAAGGCGTAGAGCAGCTTTCTTGGCCATGGCTCGTGTGCAATGCGTCCACCCCCAAGGGTGGATTGTCCTGGCGAGCCAGGGAAAACCATAGGGTTCAGTGGCTGTTGCGCTGGTTGGGGAACAGGTCCACCTCCGCTTTCCCGATCTGGGCCTAGATCTGCTTCACACCTCCGGGTGAAGCATCCATTCATCTGGCAGGGGCCAGCCTCTTGACATGAGGTCGGCTCCCCCGTTCTCCAGCCCCGGGATGTGGAGGGCCTTCAGAGATAACACATTCTCTGAGGCCCACAACCACAGGTTCTCCACTGTGCTAAACAAGGCGCCGGAGCGGACTCCGCCCTGCCTGTTGATGTAAGCCACTGTGGTGCGGTTGTCGCTCCTCACCAGCACATGTTCGCCCTGTAGTAAAGGTTTGCATTGCTGTAGGAGCGGTACTACTGCCCGTAGCTCTAGAAGGTTGATGTGCCGAGTTTCTGTCAGAGGCCAGCCACCACCTATAGCTCTCTCTAGGCAGGTCCCCCCCCATCCTGTCACGGATGTATCTGTGAACACTGTGACGTAGGAGGTAACCCGCCCCAGTGGAGTTCCCCTCCGCAGATGCTTTGGGGACCCCCAGTATCGGAGGTTGTCCTCCACTGAGGGGGGGATGGTCACCAGACGTCGTTTGTGCCTCTTGGGATGTAAACGAAGGCCGGCAAACCACCTCTGCAGGCGACGCATATGCAGTAACCCCCGCGGTACCACGAGGTGAGCAGCCGCCATGAGACCCAGAGTCTGCATGAAGGTCAAAGCTGTCACCGTTGCCCCCTGTCGCAGTCTGCAAACTGCCTGAAGCAGGGATGCCTGTCTGCTCTCTGACAGGGTGGCACGTAGTCTGCCTGCACATGCGCAATGTCTAGATGTAAAATGTCCTATTGGAGTTGCCATACAGAGTTTTCCAATATGACGGACCATCTCGCACATGCGCAATGCAGATCGGGCAGGGATGCAGATCGGGTAGTGACTGTCACTTTATGCAGCTTCTGACAAATGAAAGATTCAGTCTGTGTTGTTGTTGTTGTTTGGGCCGCAAGGCACAGACATCATTACAGAGAAGCTGGAGGACAACATTTATCAGAGTTAGTGGCTAATTAGTTTTTACAACAGGAAGGGGCAGGGAGCGCTGGATGGAGGACAAAGAGGAGAGGAACGTTTCTGTTTTTCCTTGACTCTTCTTATCACTTCTCTGAATTTATTCAAATTTTAAGTCACTAGCAGAATATTGATTAGTTTGTATGAACTCCTCCTTCAACTGTTTAAAAATCATGGCGTAAACAGACTGCTGAGTGTCCTACGTTTACACTTTTTCTCACAAAAGTAGATCAAAGCTGGAACTTCTTCACCACATCCACATCCACCTTTGTATTTCTGTATACATTGAATACAGTACATGTAATCTGATGTACACAATCCCACAATCATCTGGGACATTATAGTCGCTCTGCAAGGAAATTGTTTAAGATAGATTCATACGTGATACTCCCAGGAGTCATTTTTGAGACCGTAATGACATCACATATCTGCAATCTCGCCAAAATACACTGAATCAAATCATGAGTGCAAGCTGTTTGACGTTTCTCCCCCTGACAATTCATAAAACAAACTATTTATAAATGCTCAACAGGGACAACAAGTAAAGAAATGATCCAAGAAAAAAGCATTTGTTATCAGAGAGCATATTCTTCAAAAGAACAGTCATATTTCACTCGTGCTTCTGGTGGGGGTAAGAAATGAAGTCACGCAATGAAGGCTAAAGTATCAGACTTTGGCAGCTGTGTGTGTGTGTGTGTGTGTGTGTGTGTGGGGGGGGGGGGTCAATCTGATGAGGATGCGGTACAAATCTTACATACAAATGATGCATGTATGTCAGAGTCTGCTTCTTGCCCTGCCTGCTGAACCCGTCATTTTCCACTGACCCCGCCCCGCGCACACCTTCAGCTAGTCCCTCCCATCTCATCAGCACACCTGGGCAAACAAGTATATAAGCGTGTCTGTCTTTCTACATTGTTCGACGCTTTGTGCAAGACTTTCCAGCACTCTTTCCCGGACTGAAGCCGCGGTCCATTTACATTGGAAGTAGGAGGTTGGAACTGGGAGTTGAATGTGTTCCAAGAGCACAAGTTGGAAAATAATGGCCGCCCGAGAAAGTTGTTTGCCTTGGTAACAGCTTTAGCAGTCACTTAATTTAGCCATTGTTAGCAATACCGGTTGATACTATATATATAGTATTTTGTGAATACAAACATCGTTGAAAAATATCCACGGATAGAAGAGGAGTACCATATGCACAGTTGATTTAATGTGACACAATAATACAGAAGAGCTAAAAATGTTATATTATCAAAGTGTTTTCTTAACATTAGATATCTTAACAAATGCAGAGACTCCATCTTGAATGATGATCTCAGGTATGGCGAGGTATCTGAGTTTTCAAGTAGGAATTCCGACCTTGGTGCGTTCCAGTTGAAATTTGTGACACAACCCATTACAGTATAAGGGATACAAGCAAGTTTAAAAGTCAAAAGAAAACACCGGTTGAGTATTAGGAAACAAACTTTTATTTAAAAAAGAAACATAAATAAACCTACAGGAGTTAAGAGATGAAAGAAACAAGACCCTACACTTGAAGAAAATTGCATAATTAAGATCTGCTTTCAGTCAATAATAACCATTTCAAATGTTAAGAGTTCCTTGTGTTTCCTGGCTAAACTGACTCAATGTGCTAAAGACATACCATCAATAATCACTTCAATGGATCATAACCGTTGATTGAACAGTTTTCCTTCAAACTCAACACATTCAGACACATTTATTGAACTGAAAGAGACAGTGACTCGTGTGCGTGCAGTAGTGAATGTTAGTCATGGCTTTGATCAAAAGGAAAAGGTTTGCCACAACATTAAAAAAAAATGTATCACTCCAGAGCATTCTCAAGATAACTATAGCTCAAAGTTCTACCGTTTCGCAAACAAGTAAATTCAAAATACTTGTACATTTGTTTCGAACATGTAGAGATTTACAATACCATTCCCACGACCATCATCAGCCAAAAAGAATGAGTTTATGATCAAATGAAAGTGGATTTACAGCAGGGTTCAAACTGAAAGAGGCTCAGGTTGACATAAAGTTTAAAGTCAAAGTCCTCTGAAATAATTACTGGAGAGATCAATCATAAATCTGTACTGTTATGCGTTTAAACAGCAGGATTACCTACAACATTATCAGAACCTTTGGAGATGAACACCTGGGTTAAAAATACTTCTGTTAAATCCAAACTCTCATGTGTCACTTAACAGTCCAGCCAATACTGCAGTTTGCACACAGGGAACAGTGCAATACGGGCACTTCCTTTAAATGATCACACACATATCAACGAGTCCGGAAAATGTTCAGGTCCTTCCTTAGGGTGCCTCCAGCCTGTTAGTGTTTGTTTCCATCGTGACATGAGGGCTCGAGACAAATCAGGGAAAGAACAATTTGTACTTGTTGGTTTTGTTTGTGAAAATATGCGTTCATGTCCATGCGCACACAAATGCACTGGGTATGTCTGTCTGGAGGGGGAAGGAGGCTGGATGTGTGTGTGTGTGTGTGTGTGTGTGTGTGTGTGTGTGTGTGTGTGTGTGTGTGTGTGTGTGTGTGTGTGTGTGTGTGTGTGTGTGTGTGTGAGTCTCAGGAGATGGTGGAGAACTCTTTAAGCAGGACGTCCTGACTCAGCGTGTTCAGAGAGACGTTCTTCCTCACATTCAGACTGATGGAGCGCACCTGGAGACACACAAAGGACATTCAAAGTCAAACAGATAAACTGTGGGCCTTGCACTTTGATGTTGACTTCAATTCAACTCTAGAGTTTCTCAGCCTGTGCTGTTTCTTTATATTTGTCTCAAGTCTTCCAACTGCAATAAAATCAGAGGAACACCCCTTTAAAGGGGCCCTAATTCTCATTTTCAGGGTTATATTTGTATTTTGTGCTGTGACACTTCTCCATGCTTTAATGTTCAAAACGCTCTTTATTTTCCTCATACTGCCTGTGCTGCAGCACCTCTTTTCACCCTCTGTCTGAAACCAGAGCCCAGTCTGCTCTGATTGGTTAACTGGCCGGTTCTGTTGTGATTGGTCAACATTTCATTTCATTTCAAACCTTTATTTATCCAGGTGTATCCCATTGAGATCATTGATCTCTTTTTCAAGGGAGACCTGCTCAAGTAGGTTCCACATGAAACATAAAAACATAAACAGAACAACAAAAAGGACATTTTACAGCATAAATGTGCTTGCTTAGAGATGTCCCGTCCCTTAGCCTATCACGTACAATGTGTTGTAGCGCTAGCCAATAGAAGTGCAAGTGTTACGTAGTGATGCCCCCCCTCTGGAGGGAAAACAGGGATTTTAGTCTTTGCAGACCATTTACATGCACAAAAACCTGTACAACACACACAGGATATGGAAAGAAAATAAGCTTAATAGGGCATCTTTAAAATCTTCCTCAAGCTTCCTCATCATTGAAATTGTATATGAAGTGACATCCCCACAGAGCCTGAATCTCAGAAGACTACATTAAACTCCTCATCACCCACAATACATTGCTCTTCGTCTCTTACCAGCTCCTTGAAGAAGGCGGCCTCTTTGGGCTGCTCCGAGTATCTCTCAAACTGGTCTAAACCATCCTGCAGTTTGAGCGTCAGTGTGTCGTAGTTGGACCGAACCACCTCCAACACCTAGCAGAAGAACAGAATGGAAACAGAAGACGACTGTGTTACATTACACCATAATACAGGGAGGTTAATGCATTGCACAGTGAACACTGAATTGTCACCAAGCAGTCAAATATTGATTTGTGCTTAATACTTCATTACAACATCTTTATTCATGAGTGATCTATCTTTTCCTATCCACGTTATTTCCACGTAACTGCCTGCCATCAGGGTCAACTCTTATCAGGGATATGCTCGTTTGGAAACAAGGACAAATTACCTGTAGACTGATTAAAAAAAAGTCAGTCAACCTTCTATTAAATGGTTTAGTCCAATTTCTCCACAAAATTACGCACTAAATGTTTATATCCGTGAGGTTTGTATAGCAATGTTTGTTTTAAAATAGTTTTTTTCTTCAGATGAGCTGAATGGTTCTGAATCTGTAACAAAAATTAGAGTGTGTGTGTTTTCGTACCAATGAGATTCAGTAAGACTTCACAATCAGAGCATTTTCGCTTGGATAAGGACTCAATAGTTCATAGAAAGGTCAAACAGAGCATAATGCATATGTGTGTTTGAGTGTGTACAGTGTGTGTGCAGTATGTGCATGAACACACATGCCTCAAAGTCCAGCTGAGATAAGGTGAGCTGAAATCAGAGGTAATTATTCAGAGATTCTCCACACTCCCTCCCCTGCCATCCGCTCATTCAACCGTGAAATAGCCCCCAAGCAGACCTCTTATATTACTTTAACGTGCGTGCGCTGCGCACCACGCACGCACGCGCGCGGCGCACAGACGCAACTGGTGGTGATTGGATGGCGGGGAGGAAGGCGTGAGCCATGACCAACTTGTTAGTAGCACAATAAATATGAAAGTGGAAAAACTGGAGAATCCGACTCTGCTGTGCAACTTTCTGCATCCCTAAGCAGATATGGTTGTGTGCATGCTTTTATCCTGCAGTGTGTGAACAGAAGCAGCATGTGTGTGTGTGTGAATTGACTTGTATGTGAGAGACATAGAGACTGTTGTAACGCTGTGTGTTTCTGGAGGCCATCCATCTTCTACTGTCACTGGGGGGAGTGAAGTCGCTGCAGGCAGTTCAGCTGTGTCTGTGAGAATGTGTGTCGAGGACTGTATGTCAAAAGAAAATACAAGGAACTTAATTTAAGTTACATAAGAGCATTTTCTAAAGATGTAACTGTTGTAAATGTCCCTCAAATGGACCAAAGTTCAACACATATCCACCTCCATCCCACCCACTAAAACATGTTTAAGTGTCTGACACTGGTTACATTAACTTCACTTACCCTAATGTTCATCAATAAGATGCAAGATTTTTGAAGGAAATCCTATGAGTATATACCTTTTGTTTTCATTTTCTTTGAGCATTAGGCTCATTTGCATTAGTTTGGGCTGAGGCTAAATTTAAATTGTCTTGTGTTCAGTTGAAAGCTTTCAATGTGCTTCACTCAACTCTCTCCTGCCTCTTCGTGAAAACACACAGGCTAATCGCTCTCATAGCATCGTTTTTGGATGCAGTCAGCAGCTGTTTTCAGAAAAATAATCTCTAAAGACCCATTCTCCTCTAAGTGCACAACAGAAAACAGCAAACAGTTGTCACAAACACATCTCAAAATGAATGATATTGTTGCTCTGTATCTGCAGGATGTGTTAATAAGCAACTGGCTAGAAGTTCAACTTCGTTAAAAGGTAACTGTTGGAGCCAATTTGGGTGTTTTCATTTTTGACAGTTATTTGGGCATTTGCACGTCTTGCAAAATGTCTTTACTTGTTCAAATCCTTTTTTGAGTCGTATTTGTTAACACAGGCATACAACATCTGTACAGTATAAGCATAAAATGAGGCTCAACGAGGACAAGAACACTGATCAAAAATAACAAATGTTCAAAAAAAAAGTGACTTTATCTAATGATAGGGGTGTTAATATCACAAGCAAGAAATCATATATTAATCCAGCAGTTGCTCTTAGAGACCAGAGCTAACTGCTGCCTTCCTTCTTTGTTGTGAATAAATCTCGCAGATAAAAGCAGAGAGGTAATTGGAGAGCATAATGACCAAATCCATCACTCTCTTATCAGCTTGTAAAAAAGGACTCTTCTGGCTCTTTTCCTACCCTTACCAATTTGACATAAATGATAACGCCTGAAGTGAAGCTCACAACGGTCATATCAGCTCCCTTACAGACTCAAGTGTTCCCACTGACGATGAAAGAATAACTCAGGGAAAATTGAGTCATTAAAAAAGCTGGACGCTTTGTTGATGAGTTCGCAAAACCAGGGCTACAGATATAAGAGTCACTACAACTGGACTATATTCATGCTTATGTAAAACTGTTTAAAACTATCAAATTACGTTTATTGTCATACTGTGTAGGAGAAAACTATTAGGTTGCATTTCAGTGTTATAGACAATTTTTTGTTTTGAGGAAAAGTCCTATTATTGTCATCTGTAGTTAAGGGACTATTAAAGACTACAATTCCCAAGATGCCAGCCTTTAAGAGACACACTTGAGACTACATACAAATATATTAAAAACAACATAAAAGAAAGAAGGTCTAAGTTTGTTTATAATTTTTATTTGAGTTTTGCCTCTTGATTTGTTTAGTTTTGCAAAGGCCTATTTTCTATGCTGAACGTTTGTGAAAATAATTGTATTTTGAATAACAATGAGTCGCATAACTTCAACACATCATCAGAAGCCAAACAATGGGGAAAACAAATAAATTAAAAGATAACGCGTTAGAAATATCTGTCTTAAAGGCAACTAAGTGGCTTAAGGGAAGAAAGGAAAGAAGCCGCGACACTCAGTGTGTATGTCACCGTCTGTAGTGCAGCACAGTGTTGAAGGGTTCATTTTGATGAGAACAGGTTCCTCCCACCTGTCTGAACTGTGTGCAGTGAATCAGCCCCGATGATGAGCGGCTCCTCTCTGTGTCTCATCACAATGAGCCATGTGTGAGTCATCCATCTCTGCCACATAACTGTTACTACTCCATGATGAATGAACGCCTCTCTCAAGCACTTCAAAGCACTGAGCGTTTGCCATTGTGTGCTAAAAAATTCATAGGATTTACTTTTGAAATGACAGCAGTGAGGTCTCCGTGGCGTTCTGCCAAAATGTCCCCAGAGATGATGCCTATTTTATTTTTATTTTTTACATGGAACTTTTTGTTAAAGTATAAAAAGGAGAAAAAGTGTGTTGTGTTTACCTGTTCTTCTGAGAGCTGGGAAATGTGGTTCACAGAAGCATACGACTCAATCTTGGGATTAAAATGGTTTACGATGGCCCTGAAAGACAAGATTAAGCAACATGAAGATTTTCCCCAAGTCCAATGATTTAAACTAAATAACCAACATGTATACCTGCACACGATTATAAAAAAAAGCCAAACATAAGGTTACTTTTTGTTAACATAATAATAGAAATAACATGAAGGTAAGAAGATAAGCATTTGGAAACATTTTGAGGAGGCCATATTTAGCTAATTTTCAGGTTCTTATTTGTATTTAGTGTCTCTACTGTGACATGTCTCCATGATTTCATGATTCAAAAAAAGTCTTTATTCTTCTAATACAGCAGCACCTCTTTTCACCCTATGTCTGAAACCAGAGCCCAGTCTGCTCTGATTGGTTAGCTGGCTGGCTCTGTTGTGATTGGTCAACCGCTGAGAGCTGTCCAACCCCTTAGCCTATCACATACAACGTGTTGGAGCGCTAGCCAATAGAAGCGCGGGTGTTACGTAGTGATGTCATAATGTTGCAGGAGTAAACAGAGGAGTCCAATGGAGGTGTTTCAGGTATGGGGGGAGTGTGTGGGAGAGAAACTCCCTTCGGAGGGAACTCTGGGATGTTAGCCTTTTACAGTCCATTTAAATGCACAAGAATCTATATAATATTCTACAGGAGAGGGCAAATTATTCAGTCGTATATCAAATAAATTATAGTAAGGAAAATGCAGAGAATTCTCCATCGTGGTAATCCTATGTCATTAACGTATGAGTCAGCGTATGGAGGAATGAGCTGGTGGGTGTATAATGGGATTGGTCCCTGCACTTAATTTAATTCAACACACACATTTAATATTTCTGTGGGTTCTATATTCCTCTCTGATTCACCTATTCATCTTTTCTTCCACATATTATCATTAAAAAATAGTTTCCGTCCCCGCCTTCCTGTGTTGCCTTCCTTACTCAGGCAACACAGACCAGCTGAGAGGGTGATTCCTCTGGGAGTATCCCGCTCGTACAGGGGCCCTCAGGGGCTTTCAAGCCAGGGTGACCTTAGAGGATCTTCTCCTCAGAGAAGATGGAGGGGGGAAATGAGAGAAAAGCTTAAAAATGACTGAATAGGGCGGCCTGGGGGAGGGAAAGTAATAGACTGGGGATGAAGGACATAAATGACAGTTCTTAAAGGTCCCATGACATGGCCATTTTTCTACTGATCATAATTCCATTGTTGAGATCTACTAGAATAGATTTACATTGTTACAATTTTCCAAACTCACATTGGTTTCTCAGCATCTCTGTATAGTATGTGTATTCAGTCTCTGTCCTAAACGGCTTGTTGGAGGTCCTGCCCCCCCCTCCCTGTGAGCCCAGTGTGCTCTGATTGGTCAGCTCGCTGCGGCGAGGAGCTGACAGTGTGAGCTGGCTTACTGGTGTGGTTTCCTGCTTGCTGCGAGACATCGCGAATGGACGCGGAAAGGGGGGGGGGGGGGGGGGGGGGTGCAGCAGCCCCATCTGCGAGGCTCCACTAGTGTTAGTGTTTTACTCGCTACAGGTTGTACTTTGATGTGTTGTGACTCTGCAGACCGTTTACATGCATAAAAACCTTCATAACACACAAGGGGACGGGTAATAACCGGAAAAGCATGACATGGGCCCTTTAAAGACTTAACTTTCACTTTATTTGAGCTTTCTTAATCACATCCTTGTTTTAAATTCCCTTTAATCAAAATATATTTCTCCTTCTTAGGGTACAGCATTTGTGTGCTGAGTGTGTTTTTACCGAACGTTGACAAGGGCATGCGTGACTTTGCTGGCTGGCTCTTTCCACTGGCCCGTGTTGGTTGATACTCTCAGAACTAGAAGGCAGAGAAGGACATAAACACAAAGTTAGATACACATATGATGTCAAAATTACGCACATTTACTTTCCTCTGTGGATAAAGGAAGGGCTTGGAAGTTTTGCTGTCGAGAAACTCCCTGTGGAGGGAACTTTGGGATTTTAGACTTTGCTGACCATTTACATGCACACAAACCTATATAACACACTATATGAAAGGGAAAACCCCAAAGAGCTCCTTTCAAAATGTATTTTTAGCCTATTATATTTGTGATAGCCTTTATTTGAGACTGACATTATTTGAATAATAGCTTTTGTAGGGGAAATACAATCGCTCGGGTTAAACACTGCCATTTTATTTCTCAATTATTTAAAGCATGGGACTATTACATAAAGCAGTATATGTAAAAAAAGACAGGCTTAGAGCTTCTATTGTTGTGTGTCTTAGTAATGTATTATCTATCTTTTTGTGAGTAAGTAAGTGTTACGGATATGATTTGATGTTTTTTTTCTGTAAATTGTTAAAGATAGGAATTGTGACCCCGGGATCAGTAACTGTATTGAAACAGTAGCTAATGGGGATCTAAATGTATAAATAAGTCAACATACCCATACAGTAGAGGTTGTCGAACACCTGGTGCATTCGTACGATTTCATAGTACAGCTCGTCGTAGCTGTTGGAGGTGGGCAGGAACGTGTCGCCGTACGTTATAAACATGTTGAACAGGTTCACCACCTGATGAGGAAACACACATTAGATGACGGACAATATTCATTTTCAAAGGAACCAAAAAAAAAAGTTATATAATTCATATTGCATCAGTTTTTGCACACAGAGCCTGTTAGTCTCTTTCCTCGTCGGACACACATACAAAAAAGGAGTTCCGACACGCATCCTTGTGGAACTAATTTCCACTGTGTACTGTCTGCATATTTTGTGTGGTGTGTGTGTGTGTGTGTGTGTGTGTGTGTGTGTGTGTGTGTGTGTGTGTGTGTGTGTGTGTGTGTGTGTGTGTGTGTGTGTGTGTGTGTTTCTCACCAGTAAAGCCAGATGGAAGATGTTGTGCTTGGCCAGCAGCGTCGTCTCATTGGACAGGAGGAACTTCAGCAGGTTGATGAGCGCTGTGCAGAAGGACAGGGATACATGTGATTGTTGAGACATCTGGCAACTGACTGCTTTCCTCAGTGAGCTACTTTATTAAAGCAGATCATCGAAACACAGGAGAGAGAAAACTATTTCAACACCAAATAAAGTCCTTTCAGAAGTTTAAAAAGTGGGAGAAACAGAGCCATGAGAAGAAACTGGCTAAAGAAGATAAACACATCTATTGCTTTAATTCAGCTTTTACTCCAGCCTTGTATTTATATTGCCAGCATGGAGAGAGGGTTAGTGTCACTCAGGGAATTAAGCTGATGATTGGTCTGATTAGAGGAGTCTGTATTCTAATGAGACACAGTGAGAGGGGGCTATTATAAACTGAAATGTTATCCTATTGTGTGTTGTTGACCGGGCTTAACGCTAGGCCAACAGGATGAATGGTGCTTCTTCAGAGACTCATTATCCAATCTCAATGATGCAATACATTTCTAAAAACAACAGAACCAATTACTTCAGGGGAAATTGCAAAAAGCATCAACTATTTACTCAACTCTTAAAGGTGGGGTAGGTAATTTTGGAGAAACCAGCTCGAGTGCGCTAGAATTTGAAAATACACAACCGGAAAAAATCTGCCACTTCCTTACAGAGCCCCTCCTCCAACACACAGGAAAGCACACATGACCAATAAGGGCACGAGATAAGTTCGTGCACAGATGGAAGGCTGACAGGCAGGTAGGCCATCCAGTTACTTTAGCCGGGCCGGCTAAAATGATTAGTCGTGCTTTTTACAGAGCTACGGCTTCCAGAGATTAAATTTTATTATGGATTTTTTGTCAAAGCACTTCAGATATTCATTGCTATCGGATGTTAAGAGCATTCCATGGAATATAACAAAAAGTGTATCTCGAGCCGGTTTCTCAAACTTACCTACCCCACCTTTAAGGTGGTCCCCAGCAAAACAAAACATTATTTCATTACTAAAACATAATCTCTGAGAAAAATGACAAAGAATTTGCAGCCAAAATCAATTAAGTTTGACCTTTTAGGAGGAATTCAGCAGTTTTTATCCTGCGTAGTATAGTATTTGCAAAGAATGGCGGATTCAAAATATTTTTTTATGAAACAAAGTTGAAATGATTGAAACTAGTGATAAAACTAGCCATAAGAAAAAACCCTCATAATCCTTACATTATTCTGGTGATAATCAAAAGTGATTACTGTTCATTCTGAGAGTGACATGATGATTGTCTACAACACTTTTCACCAGCTGGACCTGTTAAAGGAGCCCTTTTATGCTCATGTTCAGGTTTCAAATGTGTATTTTGTTCCTCTACTATGACATGTTTACATGCTTTATTCATGTTCAAAAAGCTCTTTATTCTTCTCATACTGCTTGTGCTGCAGCACCTCTTTTCACCCTCTGTCTGAAACCAGAGCCCAGTCTGCTCTGAGTGGTTAGCTGGCTGACTCTGTTGTGATTGGTCAACCGGTTAGAGATGTCCCGCCCCTTAGCCCTTATACAATGTGTTGGAGCACTAGCCAATAGAAGCGTGAGTTCCTTGTTCTGTGAATGAGGTTGAGAGAGAAAGCAGGGCGTCTTTACCTGACCAGAGCTCTCTCCAGGTGTAGTGTAATCGGATTCTGCACTTCTTCTGGTAGCACAGGAGTTTGTGGATGATCTGCACACAGCGCCTGCACAGGAAATAAACACATTGCTGTGATGGCGTTCTTTTGTGGGTGAGATTTTGGAGTAATATGTGTGTGATATGTGTGTGTCCTCACAAGTATAAATCCATTGGGAAATCCTTCATCATATGAGTGACAATAAACTCCACCATCAGATCTAGAGAAAGATGGAGAAAATGAATCCCTGTTTGAAGAATCTTGCAATAATGCAACATCCAGTGAAAGAATGCCTTACAAATATAAAAGAATCAGAGGTATCTGCTTGAAAACAACAGGTTTGAATGTTTCCCATACCTAGAACTGCACACACCAGCGGGCGTGAAGGGATGTTCTTGTCCACTGCTTTTTTTCTGTGCCTCATCGGCTGAAAAACAAATATACAGAAGTAAAATATAGAATATAGGTATGTAAATGCTCATATATAAGATGAATAGCAGCATTCTACAATTCAATTTTAATAACAAATATTGTGCAAGACATCTTTAATATGTAGCATATATCTGGCTTAATGCGCAATCTTTTCCCTTTTTGTAGAGACGTGTCACTCAAATTGAGGAAACATAATGAAGTATAATTGTCTTCATCAGGTAGTGGGCTTACGTGGAGTTAAATAACCGAGGTAAAGTCGGCTTTCTCCATTAAGCCTATTTCATAACACCATTTAGACGAGAAACTTTGTTTGGGGTAAGAGAAATATGATTTCCCAATCTAGTTTACATTGAGAAAGCTGATTTCTCTTAGATGAATACAAATATTAATCTGCGTGACAAACAGGGAATCAGGGAATGTATCATCTGAGAGGTGGATGAAAGGAGGGATAATAAATATCGCTGCATTTATTTACTGAAAATAACTACATTTGACCATTTGACCGTCTAGTCATTGTCGGTGATTTTAACATCCATGTTGACAACCCCCAGGACAGAGGGGCTAAAGAACTGTTTTCTGTTCTATGGACTGACTCAGCATGTGACGGAGCCCACGCACAATAAGGGGCACACTCTGGACTTAATTATCTCAAAGGGTCTGAATATCTCTAAGGTTGTGGTGACTGATGTTGCACTCTCTGACCATTCCTGTGTTTTCTTTGAGAGCTCTATTTCTGTTCACAAAAATGTTCAAAAAGAGGTAACCACAAAGCGATATTTAACTGAAAATACTAGGGAAATGTTTACTCAGAATTTTTCTTCCACACTTGCCCCTGCTAACATCTCAGTAAATGAGCTAGCAGATCATTTTTAATTAAAAATTTAAAAATGTTATAGATGCCATTTCTCCAACTAAGGTAAAGGAAGTGTCTGGCAAGAAAATATCTCCATGGAGAAAGGCCATGACCGTGAGAACAGAAAAAAGAGTGTCGAAAAGCTGAACGCAGGTGGCGAAAAACAAATCTCCAGGTTCACTTTGAAATCTATAAAGAGAGACTTGGCCTTTATAATTTGGAATTGAAAAACGCACGATAAAAACCTAGAGGACATTATACAACTTCTGAAATCCTCCTCCTGCTGCCTTGATATTATTCCAACAGGATTTTTCAAAGATGTTTTGCCTTGCATGGCCTCAGATCTACTTCATATAGTAAACAAGTCTCTTCACTCAGGTATTTTTCCACAGGACCCTGAAAACTGCAGTCATTAAACCGCTCTTAAAAAATAATAATCTAGATGCTTCAGTAATGAACAATTACAGGCCCATATCAAACCTCCCATTTCTAGGTAAAATCATTGAAAAAGTTGTTTTTCAACAGTTGAGTAATTTCTTGCATTTAAATAACTGTTTCGATGTGTTCCAGTCAGGCTTTCGTCCAAACCACAGTACTGAGACTGCTCTTGTAAAGGTCTTCAATGACATCCACTTAAACACAGACAGTGGCAGAACTTCAGTGTTAGTATTATTAGATCTCAGTGCTGCGTTTGACACTGTTGACCACAACATATTACTAGACCGAATGGAAAACTGGGTGGGACTTTCAGAAACAGTTCTGAATTGGTTTTAATCCTACTTAAAGGACAGAAACAACTTTGTTTCTATAGGTAAATACACATCTTGAATTGACAAATATGACATGTGGGGTTCCTCAAGGCTCCATCTTGGGGCCTCTTCTCTTTAACATCTACATGCTACCACTGGCTCAGATAATGAAAAACAACAAAATAAGTTACCATAGCTATGCAGATGACACACAAATTTACGTAACAATTTCACCAGGAGACTATTCTCCAGTTCAAACACTGAGTAAGTGCATTGAACAAATCAATGACTGGATGTGTCAGAACTTTCTCCAATTAAACAAAGATAAAACTGAGGTAATGGTTTTTGGAGCCAAGTCAGAACGTATAAAAGTTAGCGCTGAGCTTCAGTGTACAATGTTCAAAACAACAGATAAAGCCAGAAATCTAGGTGTAGTCATGGACTCTGACCTGAGTTTCAACAGTCACATTAAAACAGTTACTAAATCAGCCTACTATCACCTAAAGAATATATCTAGGATTAAAAGACTAATGTCACAGCAGGATTTGGAAAAACTTGTCCATGCTTTTATCTTCAGTAGACTCGACTACTGCAATGGTGTCTTTGCAGGTCTCACTAAAAAATCTATTAGGAAGCTGCAGCTGATTCAGAACGCTGCTGCTCGAGTCCTCACTAACACTAAGAAAGTGGATCACATCACTCCTGTTCTGAAGTCTTTACACTGGCTTCCTGTGTGTCAAAGAATAGATTTCAAAATACTGCTGCTGGGTTTATAAAGCTTTGAATGGTTTAGGCCCAAAATACATTTCTGATCTACTGCTAAATTATGAACCATCCAGATCTCTCAGGTCTTCAGGGACTGGTCAGCTTTCTGTCCCCAGAGTCAGAACCTCTACATGGTAAAGCAGCGTTCAGTTATTATGCTCCAAATATCTGGAACAAACTCCCAGAAACCTGCAGGTCCGCTGCAACTCTTACTACTTTTAAATCCAGGCTGAAGACTTTTATTTTTGTCGCTGCTTTTAATTGAACTATTCACATTTTAAACTGCACTGTAACTTTGATCCATGTATTTTTTTCTTTTAATGTTTATTTTATTAGCTTTTCTTTTTAATGACTGATTTTAAATGCCATTTTCTTAACGTCTTCCATTTTTTGTAAAGCACTTTGAATTTCCTTCTGTTGAAAAGTGCTATATAAATAAACTTGCCTTGCCTTGCCTACATTCAAAGTCTGACTAAAGCAACACAAAGTATCCCCTCAAAATGTAAATCAATTAGTGTATTACTTGACTATGAACTCACTCACTTACAGCCCACACTCACCATTCTGTGGAGATTGACTCTGAAGTTCATGTTGTCATCATGAAGAAAGGCATCAGCGTACTGATCCTGTGGCACACAGAGGAGAGGTCAGAACAGAGACAATCTGTGGAGGGGGGGGGGATGTTGCACATAATGTTGCCTTTCCTACCTCGGCTATGCAGGTGAGGATGATGAGGCACAGTCTGGCACTGTTGAGTCGATGCTCATCTGGAAACACAAACATGAGACTCTTAACAGGTAGAAAGAAAACAGAGGGCCAGAACAGAGGTGGAGAATATACAGTGAAAAAATGACAAATGATATAAAGGAGGAGGAGGAGGAGGAGGAGGAGGAGGAGGAGGAGGAGGAGGAGGAGGAGGAGGAGGAGGAGGAGGAGGAGGAGGAGGAGGAGGAGGAGGAGGAGGAGGAGGAGGAGGAGGAGGAGGAGGAGGAGGAGGAGGAGGAGGAGATGATGTTTACCTTTAGTGTCCTGCATTACAATGGAGGCGTACTTGAGGAAGGTGATGAGAAGGTTGCTGGTCTGCAGGTTGGGATCCAGAGGCAGCTCTGGGTTGTTCATCACTACAGAGGAAGATACAATCCCATTATTAAAAACTCTCTTAATATTAGGGAGAAAAAGGACAGATAACAGAAAAAATGTAACTAATAATAATGAATCAAACTTGAATTGTGCAGTCAGCAATTCCATAAATAATGACCTCCCAAATACATGAGCTGGAACGCAAATCCTACCGTCTACAAACTGGAGTAAATAAGAATCTGTCGCCCCTGTTTGGGCAGATGGAGGGCTCATTCAGGCAGATAAAACAATAAAAGAATGGATGTCTTTGTCTCATTACCGTGGCTACTGTAGCATGGCGCGTTGTATAGACAAGCGTTTTTATCCATTTAAAATCTCTGCTCGCTCAAACATACAGCTTATTTCATGGATAAATGATGAGCCCTCACTAATATATTTTTGCCACAAATCCCCTCATTTGATATTTCTTCCCCACGCCACAGGAAGATTCAACACTGTCAAACACACACATCATCACATGGGGCCGTACTGTGGTAGATGTGATTGCTGGCATAAGTGTGTGTGTGAATGTTTCTGGTCGGAGCGGAGGATCCTCTAAGTGCTGACGCTCCCATGACATGTTCCAATGCACGCTGCATGTGGAACATTCATCTGTATTTCAAGCTGTAGTTTAATATTTCATACAGAAAATAGCTCTTAGGTTCAAGGCGATGGAGAGAGAGCCAGACAGAGATAGAAAAACATGAACCTTTTACAGCGTGTGTGCATGCTGAATGACCTGCTTCTCCAACGTGATGGCTATAATATGAAGTGAAGTGACAGCCATGCGCTCCAGTTTAAAGAGATGATAATAATAAGTATGGAGGCTCGGGTGTTGGAGTTATCTGATTATTAAAATGCAATCAAACCAAATTAGAAGCGAAATGTATTGTGTATGAGCATCTTTCTACTTTTGGATAACTTTAAAAAATCTATTGAATATTTGACAAGGCATGTGAGCCTCTGTATGTCAACCCGAGGCTGGAGTTAGGGGGGGAGTTTTTAAAAAATGTATGTAAAAACACTGGTCAGATTATATTTAGGCAAAGAAGCAGAGATCTGATGGGATGCCAAATAGCTTTAGAAATCCTTCAATCCATTTCGAGGTCTCCAAACTTTTTTTGTGTGCATGTCCATATGGTCTGAAAGGCTAAAATCCGGGCTGAGTTTAAACTAGGATTTACCATGAATATTTCAACTGAAACATGTTTTTCTACTGCATAACGTAAAACCATCCTTATGCTCTGACAGGTGAAACATGGAGTTACGATTAGTTTCTTTCGCGAAAATGTGGATCCACAAACTGACATAATGGTAGATTTAGAGAAAGTAGTCCCTTACACTTGAGATCTTCCCTTCAGAAAGCTGTGGCCATCACTGACACTTCTCCAATATGTCATGCAGTCTATGTCCTCCATAATAAAACATATGACAGAGTGTATGACTTACTGTCTAAGGATGGCGGTGTTGTGCCCAGTGGAGTAGTGGGTGTGGTTGGAGTGGGGGTGGTGGGTGTGGTTGGGATGTCCATCTCAGGGTGGCTCTGTTGATAGACCAAAACAAATGTGTCATTAATAAAGAACAGCTGTCTCTCGTGTCCCAAAATGTTCAGGAGAATACAACAGTATAGACTGGAGAGGAGATTCAAACACAAACTGAGAGAAGAGAGCCTGGAAGAGTTTAACTCTGATTTTCCAAAAAATGTAATGAAAACACATTAATCATAGCTTCTAAGGAGGTTTGTATTTAATTGCAGTACTGTTAAGAGCATCACAGTGGCTTAATGGCCTTAGAATGGAAGTTATTCCGGAGACGTGTGAGTCTTCTTAACTGCATCCTCACTATTCAGTACGTTTCTTAAGATCCACAGGGATTAATAAAAGAAACATAGTCAACTTATTTGAAGGAATATGTTCCAATCGCAGGTTAACATCACAGGTACATTAATGCAATATTTGTTTTTTACGATCATCAGAAGATTAGACATTTGCAATTATTCATAGGGAAAAATAAGAAATGTGGATTCAGGAAAAGCTTTAAGAAATGTTTTAAAGCCCAACCTAAAGTTTGCCAAATTATACAAAATCCCTGATTCTGTCACGAAACTCTTGTTTTTTTTAGAGTGTTTAGTTATTGTGAGTGATGAAACTTGACTCATTTTGGTTCTTAGGCTATGCAGACCCTTGTGCAGGGTACATACAGTGGGGGAAAAAAGTATTTAGTCAGCCACCAATTGTGCAAGTTCTCCCACTTAAAAAGATGAGGCCTGTAATTTTCATCCTAGGTACACTTCAACTATGAGAGACAGAATGGGGGGAAAGAATCCAGGAAATCACATTGTAGGATTTTTAATGAATTAATTGGTAAATTCCTCGGTAAAATAAGTATTTGGTCACCTACAAACAAACAAGATTTCTGGCTCTCACAGACCTGTAACTTCTTCTTTAAGAGCATCCTCTGTCCTCCGCTCGTTAACTGTATTAATGGCACCTGTTTGAACTCGTTATCAGTATAAAAGACACCTGTCCACAACCTCAAACAGTCACACTCCAAACTCCACTATGGCCAAGACCAAAGAGCTGTCAAAGGACACCAGAAACAAAATTGTAAACCTGCACCAGGCTGGGAAGACTGAATCTGCAATAGGTAAGCAGCTTGGTGTGAAGAAATCAACTGTGGGAGCAATTATTAGAAAATGGAAGACATACAAGACCACTGATAATCTCCCTCGATCTGGGGCTCCACGCAAGATCTCACCCCGTGGGGTCAAAATGATCACAAGAACGGTGAGCAAAAATCCCAGAACCACACGGGGGGACCTAGTCAATGATCTGCAGAGAGCTGGGACCAAAGTAACAAAGGCTACCATCAGTAACACACTACGCCGCCAGGGACTCAAATCCTGCAGTGCCAGACGTCACGTGTCCCCCTGCTTAAGCCAGTACATGTCCAGTAGAGCATTTAGATGATCCAGAAGAGGATTGGGAGAATGGCATATGGTCAGATGAAACCAAAATAGAACTTTTTGGTAAAAACTCAACTAGACGTGTTTGGAGGAGAAAGAATGCTGAGTTGCATCCAAAGAACACCATACCTACTGTGAAACATGGGGGTGGAAACATCATGCTTTGGGGCTGTTTTTATGCAAAGGGACCAGGACGACTGATCCGTGTAAAGGAAAGAATGAATGGGGCCATGTATCGTGAGATTTTGAGTGACAACCTCCTTCCATCGGCAAGGGCATTGAAGATGAAACGTGGCTGGGTCTTTCAGCATGACAATGATCCCAAACACACCGCCCGGGCAACGAAGGAGTGGCTTCGTAAGAAGCATTTCAAGATCCTGGAGTGGCCTAGCCAGTCTCCAGATCTCAACCCCATAGAAAATCTTTGGAGGGAGTTGAAAGTCCGTGTTGCCCAGCGACAGCCCCAAAACATCACTGCTCTAGAGGAGATCTGCATGGAGGAATGGGCCAAAATACCAGCAACAGTGTGTGAAAACCTTGTGAAGACTTACAGAAAACGTTTGACCTCTGTCATTGCCAACAAAGGGTATATAACAAAGTATTGAGATGAACTTTTGTTATTGACCAAATACTTATTTTCCACCATAATTTGCAAATAAATTCTTTAAAAATCAGACAATGTGATTTTCTGGATTTATTTTCTCATTTTGTCTCTCATAGTTGAGGTATACCTAGGATGAAAATTACAGGCCTCTCATCTTTTTAAGTGGGAGAACTTGCACAATTTGTGGCTGACTAAATACTTTTTTGCCCCACAGTGTAATGATAAGTGGTGCATCTTACCTGTGCCAATACAGTGATGAAGTTGCGGTTGAGGTGCACAGCCTCATAGAGAGCCAGCAGAATCGCCTCATTGGTCCTTGAGAGGAAAGGTCAGCTCATTCATTTATGAAGTAAGATCTCCAAAACATCACATGACATTAGACTGGGTAGGGAAAATACTCAGGCTTTGATCCAGCAAAGCTCAAGAGCAGTTAACGTTTTATCAACAATGACTTCATGGCTCACCAGGTAACCCTTTTTAAGTATCTGTACCATTAACTACGGCACTATGTGTGTAATTACTGGTACATCATTTTCTTTATATTATATTTTGATAAATGACTTGACATTACAGATGTAAAAACAACAACCCTAAACTTTCTTCATCAATACCAATAATTGGCTCCAATTTGGGCAGCAATACACAGATTACTCTGTACCTCTCAAGAAGTTTTCATATTTTCTCATCCAGACACATGTTCGTGATCAACATGTGTAAATGTAGGCCCGACAAATAGTGAAGTTGTGTCTTAAGCCAATCAAATGTGAGCCTGTGCTAGAGCAGTTAAAGCTTTAAAGTATGGGTCAAAAACCAGATTCAGATTCAAGTGAAATAAAGCCAAAACAACTGCAGCTGTTCTCTTATTGAAGGTGCCGAGAACAATGCATAAAGGTTTGTGTAACTTCAACCGTATATTTTTGACTTACTGTACAGAGAGTTTCTCATCTGCGTCGGCTATAAACATGCTGCCCACCTGCGGAGAGAAGAAGGCAAACACTGTTAAAAAACTAATAAAAACCAAAAGGAGGAAAAAGCAATCTATTCAAAATAAATGTACTTTAAATATGTTAACAATATGATCTTACCATACTAGTGAGGGTGGAGAAGAACCCACCCTGGTTCTCCTCCTCCTTGTCTTTGTACTGCCTAAAAAGGGGAACGAAAGACAAAGACAGGAAGTCAGGAGAAAGTGGAGACAATGACAAATAAATTAAAAAGACAGGTAGGGCTACACAACAGCAGAGATATATGATTTAACTCTAACACAGCATAACACACAGTCACCCAACATCTCCTTCTTCTCCCCACAGCCTATTATCTAAGGGACATTCACTTAAAAACAATGCACTGTGTGGAGCCGTCATCCATCACTTTGATTCGCCTGTCTGTGCACGCAGGCAGACGAGACTTCCTTCACAAACAGCATTTTAATTTCCAGACCTCGCCTCATCCAAAAAACATTACCGGAGACTGCCAAAGAAAACTGTCAGATATAAATAACTGTTTCTTTTTATTTCTTACAGGAGAATAGAAATAGAACATTTGTGCGAGACATCAAAATAAACCGATGACGCCAGTGGCCTCGACACAGAACGGTTAAAAAAAAAGTTTGACACATATTTTAGATCTCACCTGTTATATTCTGTCAGAGCGTGGTGGACCACCATACCCATTCCCTGGGGAAGAAAACATCAGGTGTTTCAGTCAAACCTTTGATTATATACTTGAGGTAAAACTTCTACTACTACTACTGGTTACTATGCGTTAAGAAGGGACAGTTGGTGACAGCATACTTACATCCAGTGTTGGCTCATCGTCTACAATGGAGAGCTTCACGATGTATGGATTCACAGACTGAAAAATGAATAGAAACAATTACATTTTCAAATGTGACACAAATATTAATACTGCATTGACAATAGGGCTTTTATTTTTCATTTTATCGCCTCACCTACAGATAGGCTTAAAAAGTGCCTCATACGCTCAGTAAAGCAATGACAACATACATGGAGCTCAGTTTTCATTGAAACAAACAGATAAGCCTGTGTGATACGGCTACATTTGTACCAGTTAGACTTACCTAAATACCTCAACTGCCGACCGTTGCAGGCATATTTTACCCATCTCAAACATTTTTGAGTACATATTTTCCTAGAGTATATGCTCTTTGTGCAGCTGCTTTGGTTGCTTACATATAAGGCTGCATCCAACACTCCTCATCCTCTTAATCCCCCCGTACACTGGCGCTCTTATCCTTTCTAGGAAATAACTGCGAGGGATGTAGATTGGAAGTCATTTAATTTCAGAGAGCATGATTGCTTCTCTGTAATTGAAATGTAGGACAAGTGTCTGTAATACCTGACATAACCAAGGTCACATGATCATGTGGAGCCAAATACAAATGTACTTGCAGCTGCACAAACATCCTTGTTGATGGCGTTCATGGTTAAGCTCGTTTCCTCAGGAGATTTTACTACTCTGAGCTTTGCATAATTTCCTTTGTAAAACTATAATTAAAAAGAAATAATGACTTTCTATTCCCTCAAGGGACAAGTTAGTAGTTAGAGTAATATATTATTTCATTTTCAGGGTATTTGGTTAATGGTAAGGTGTTTGTTTCAGCTGTATAATACATAAACTCCATCCAATTCCAGATGTGTTAGTGAGATATATTTAAATACTTTCTTTTTAATCTGTGGGCCCGTATTCACAAGTTTCTGACAGCTTAAAGGGATGTCCCATTTCAGATATCTCAATTACATCTTATGAGTATACTTGTATTTGTATCTGTTTGTGAATACAGATACAAATACATAAAAGAGACTTCTAGAGTTGCTTGTATTGGACAATTAAAGTTCCAGAGCATATGTACACACCTCATATTTCCTGTAGTTGACCAGCAGGGCCAGGAGGACCACAGCGTCATAACCATGCTGCCCTCTACTGGACACATCTGACAGAATCTACAAGTAGAACAGAGATTACCAATTCAGAAGGAGAGAAACAGTTTAAAATACATAAATTAAAATCTCCAATGTATGGTGCACATATTTTTTACTAAACACTTACCTGTAGAATGGCTTCAAAGATGCTGTTGATCATCACATATTCCAGTATAGTGTTCTGACTAATATTGTCCGTTACCTGTTAACGCATCATTCACATATAAGTGATATTCAATATGTTTTTAATGGCACAAAAAGCATGACCTTTTGCTCTATGATTAATCTTGCTGTTTTGATGTTACTCACCGTCACCAGACACAGCAGCAGTTTGAGACAAAGGCTCTTCAGACTCTCTGAGCCTTCTCCACAAAGAAGGCTGTCCAGTCTCTCCATCAGGTCCTAGAGGAAAAACATACAACATGAATGAACGTGAATCATCTATTTTATTCCTTTGTTTCACCTCTCAGGGTATTTTCCCCACACACCTTCATCCTCTGCTCAGCTTTGTCGAAGCCCATGAGCATGTTGATGATGTCGAAGCCAGACGCAGACTTGTTCTTCTGGTGAACCCCTCGAAAAAGTGCACAGAGGGTCTGGGAAGAAAGGCAGAGGAACATTTCAAGAAGAGTGAAAAATGTTTCATGGAATAATAATAGTTATATGCTCATCAGCATACTAGCTTTCTGGGTCAGTTAGATCAAATGAGTGCCTGTAAACTAGTCCGAGAAGATTTACATTTTCCAGACTAACTAGAAATTCCGTCAAATATTACCTGTGTTTATTATTGAGCCTTTAAACCAGGGGTGGGGAACCTCCGGCCCCCGGGCCGTATACGGCCCGCGAGACCATTTGGTGTGGCCCTCGAGGTAATTTATAAACACACGCAAAAAATTAAAGAAATCTAGACCGCAAAATAATTAAACAAGTGAGTGCCTGTTTTTCCTGGCCAAGGTCAGGGTCCTTGAACACAACACAAGCCTAACGTGTCATCACCATGTTCACCTGGTATATGTGTCGTCTGACAGGAGTGTAGTTCGGGGAGCACCAGAACGCAGCTCCGCTCCGGCACTTCCAAAAATTGCAGTACCCATAAGGAGCCGAACACATGCCGCAGTTTTTGCGTGGCTGTGTCTTTAGTTGAAAGCCCAGTGGCGATCTGTTCATCTGTCATACTGATCATACAGTCAATAACTTTGTTGTTATTAGCATCTGGTTAGCTAGCTATGCTAACGAATATAAGAAGCTTTTTCTCCAACCAGTGAGGTAAAGGCACATCTTGATATGATCATTATAGTTATACAAAAATAAGAGAATAAAGTAAAGGTATAAAATACTATATGACAGTAAAAAAAGTTGTTATTAATAAACAAGAATACAGTTTGAAAGGAGAGTGATTTGTAAAATATCCATAAAGAAAATCTGCTTACAGTTATGTTTCATCTGGATGTTGAGAGATGTTTCCATAGATCTAATGTTGCTCTCAAAGTGCACCAGATTGATGCTTTTAACTTCAACATTTAAAAACAAATCTTCCCGGGGGAACATGCCCCCGGACCCCCCTAGAGGAGGTTAGGTCCCCCCCACTTAAATCATGTTCACATGGATAGGAAACTAAATACATGTGCACACATCTTGTGTCCATATCTTTCTGTTTTGGTGGTCATGACACAACCGTGCACGTGCATGCATGCGCGAGTCATGGTAAGATATCTGGATTAAGAGGTTGCTTTTTCTTTGCACAACATGAAAGAAAGGTGAAATGAGTGGGCTGTGATTTTAGTATTTTTAAGCAGAGGTCAATAATTTGTACGGCCCTCGGAGGATGTTGAAAACATTGAAATGGCCCTTGAGAGGATAAAGGTTCCCCACCCCTGCTTTAAACAATCTATAAAAAGGATATAAAGAATGACATTATCAAAGAATGTTGATTTATATTTTATTGAAAAGTAAGTCCTATCAATTGAAAAATATATATACATTACAATATATATATTCCCTCAGTTTAAGGCCAATATCTTCTCATATGAAATCAAATTAAAAAATTAAAAAGATACATGTAGGCCTATCCGGCTCATAACATTGTAATCAAATGTTGCTGATGCCGACTTGAAATCAAGTGTTGATTTGATCCCGTTTTGCAAAAAGATTCAGATCTGTCTGACTGACAGATTATTCTGGTCAAAGTCTGGTGAATACCGGCTAACAGAAACCGTGTGTTATACTTCAGGTGCTACTGATGAGATGGAGACATGTGCAATGTAACCTGCTGTCCAGGTGGTCCTCCTGAGCTTTAGTTACCTGCAGGGCATTGACTACTTTGATCTGGTGCTCTTCTCCCAGAGCCTGGACACAGTGGTGGAACAGAGAGTTGATGTTATCCTGGATCTTCTGAACTTCCTCCCCATCGACAGTCTCCAACTTGGTCTCCAGGTACTCCAGGTTCACCTTAAACATGGTGGAAGGACAAAAGACAAGTTAAACAAGTGGTTTTTCGGAGCAAAAGAAGGAATATTGTAAACACATACGAGTGGTGGATTATTGGGTGACAGTTCCATAGTCTACTTTATATAAATTGACAATTTTTCAAGTCCTGAACTGTGTACTAATCTGTGCGGCACTTTTTCTAGTTTGGGCACTTCACAACCTTCTTTTTTCTACATATATTGTGTGTCTTTTCAGACATCAGGGCACAAAATGACCACCCAAATGCTTGTATGATAGGCTAGTAATTGTGCATTACTCACCATCAAAAATACAATGATTATCTATTATTGGATGGTTACATTTTGACAGTTACTAGCCATTCGGTGGGGGTGTCATTTTTCTTGCCATCTAGTTTTTGACAAGGTAACATTTACATGTTTCCCACATAATATCAACAGCACTCTGGTATTTTTGGCACACAGGAACCTCATATTAATGTTTAAACGTGTTTAGGTACATATTATAATTTTAGATTTTTCTTCAAGTTGCATACATATTTTCTACTGCTCAATATTTTGACAGTCTTTTATTTTGAAAGCGGATTACTGATATCTCATTTAGCTTTACTGCTTCCACACTTGGTCATCAACACAAACAACAGTGCTTTTTTTATGCAGAACATACTGTATATGCACTCAACAAGATGTTGAGTATTTCTTTACCTTCATAAGAAACAGCTCATCCCAGAACCGTGGGTTGTTCTTGGCCGGGTCCTCTTTCTAAATTAAAGAAACAGAGAGGGCGATTGTTTACATTTGAAATGTCTTTTTTCTCTGTTGTTCATTTCTTTCAATCACTGATACTCCCCTTTTTGAAATACTTACAGCAAAAATCTCATCATACATCAGCACCACCTTCTCTTTCAAGGGTTTCTTAGAGGATGACGTCCTCCTCAGCAGCCCAGCCTTCTTCTCCACCTGAGACATGACTGAGTCTGAGGAAAGAGACACAACGAGGTAGATGAGGATGCAGACCCGAACTATGTAAAAAAGCTATGGCGTAAATCAACAATTTACGCCATAACATGTCTTCTCTTGGATAGATTCATTAAAGGATAAGGTCAACAATGCTCTATATTTTTGTCACACCCAACAAAGCGCATGAAAATACCAAAACCAACTGTCTGTTGGTTTGTCTTAGTAGGCCTACTGAATAATATAAAGTCCACTAAGATATTATATTACACACTTGGTCGTGAGATCAATTCATTGACAGTTGCTTACTCTTAAACTCCAGTTTGCAGCCTAATGTTTTCAGCAACAGATTGTTACCTTATTCATTACTGCTCTGTAAAGGAATACATTTATCTTCCATTTTACTATGATCTTTTTTGGAGAGTTCTTGTTACTACATTTTGTTTATTATCGACTGTGGACGTCAAACATGTCATTCAAAGTGACACACCGGTAAGATACGGTGTATGACTAGTATTAGCAAATGGAGGTAAACGTTTTGGCTAAGTAAACACAGTAACCTAATGTTTAAATAACAAGGGTGGCAATATTGGGTTGGATAAAACATTTTGTGTTGACATTTGCTCAAATTGATGACACATGATACAACAGTTAACTATCCTTAAAGCAAGTAGGGATGGGCTGCTAGCTAGTTAGCTAATCATTGCTAACTGACACATCGTTAGTAAGCCGGTTTGAATAGTAAACCACTAACAGAAACGTGTTTAAGTTCAAAAGCATGAGTTGTTGTCCACTCGACACATGTGAAGAGCAGCTGGTTTATTAGCAGTTACATCACCAGACGAAAGTCTGCTAATATGTTTATATTCTCGCAGCTAAAGCTAACGCTACCCATTGCTAGCTAAGTTAATGCCTGGCAGACCAGGGTTGTAACATGTAATGTCAGGGTGCTATTGTTGACAACATCACTATGAACATGGCTTCATTATGAGCGTGGTTTGTTCTTACCTCAATCCAAGTATTACAATTAAAAAAGGTAGTTCATTAATCCCTGTTACAACACTTGTCTCTGCTAGCATACTGATGCTAACAATAGCATCCTGCTGCTGGTCTTCATGGTCCTAGTGCCCCACAGTAACCTCTCCTGTAATGTTTACTGAGTGCCCAGTTTAGTGAGTTTAACAATTGCCCAACTATGACATTATGGTATTATGTAATGCCATTGGGGTCATTCACACCTCACATGCATGGGCACTAAATCAATGAACACGTACAAATATGTAGTAAAATAATTGCTTAGGTCTTAAGAGAAAGGAAAGCATTAAATGGCAAGTACGCAAATTGTAGACAAGCCATTATCATCAATTAATACATTATTTATTCTGTCAAGAAATTAAATGTTAATTTATGAAAAGATGTTGTTATAAAAATGTTTAGACTTATATTATGAAGACTATTTACATGGGTTATATTTGTCTTAAGGCCATAGATACAGCACTGTATCTCCTCTGACAGTCTGATCATAAGTGCTTCTGTGTTTAATCATAAGAAGAGGGTATACTATGACATGTGTATCTCTATGGAAAAACAGACTTTGAGTGATCAGACTTTGTTTTAACAGTGAACAATGCTGAGACTCGGCATTGAAAGAAGATTGTTTTGTCTTTGTCTATGGCCTGTGGCTGTTTGTAAAGTGCTTTGAACTCTGCATAGGCCTACCCATTAAAAGTGGTGATTAAAAGAAGTCTGATTCAAGCAGAATAGAGTTTAGGATTTAAAAAAAGAATTTAAAGAGTGAAAAGCCATCTGTGAGATAATGAAAGCATGCAATGATTAATTTATCCTAGATGTAATCAGCAGGGCAGAACATGTGTGAAGACATGATTTAGAGGAGCTGCTTAAAAGAGAACTGAGCTTTATGTTTGAACTGCTCACTTCCTTACATTTACGCCCCCAAGTCTCACAATCTTATGTATTGACCTCTATGGTATTGACTTTTTAAAAAATGTCAGCGCTGCCCTTCATCTCATGAATTCATATGCACTAATCTACGGAGCCCCCTAGGGGACATGGAGAAGAAAAACAAATGTATTTAAAAAATGTTTTTTTTGCAAGATGGAGAATGGAGCGGTTCATCGATTTTACTTTGAGCTTGGCTCATATAAAGATATAAAGATATAACATCAGTGCTTGGTATCAGGACCGCCCCTCCCTACAGGCCAATCACGCAGGCTGCATGGGGCCCCGCCTTGCGCAGGGGGCCCCGCCCAGAGGGCCTCAGCTGCTGTGCGCAGTTCTCCGCTCAGCTCTCAGCGCACCCCCCCCCGCGAGAGTGAAAGTGAGAGGTGACAAGGGGAGCACGTCTGTAACTCGACACCGTTGCAATGAATCGAGATCTGACCAATCACGGCTTTGATACGGCCACTAGTGCAGGTGAAGAGATGTCGGCGAAAAGACAGTTTCAATCCGGCGCAAGCAAGAGGGGGAAAAAATAAAACATGAAGAAACTAGAGCATCACTCGAAGGCAGTGGCGTAGCTGTGGGTGGGCCCGGGTGGGCCTGGGCCCACCCACATGCACGTCTCTGGCCCACCCACAGCCAATCAGCGCTTCATAGCGCAGAGCCGGGAAGCCCAGAAGGAAGTGCCACAAACTGCAGTTCATCTAGTGGCCGACAGGGGATGGATGCAAAAAGGAGCAATTCCCATAGACCCCCATGTTAAAATGCCCAACTTTACAGCAGAAATAAACATGTTTCTAGCCTGGATCCAATAAAACTTATTCTGGATATAGTTAGATTCCACCTTCATGACAATGGAATAGGGAGTGCATTTTTTTACCGTGAGTTTTTATAGTAAGTAAAGTAACTTTTGCCGTGAGTGAATGAAAGTATTATTTCTTCTTGAGGTATGCAGTTTAGCGTGTACACATTTGCTGAACATGAAAACACTCAGTGTGTGCCCACTGTGCGACTGTCAAGGATAAACAACCTGTGCCCCGATATATGTTGTATGTATTATTGCTACACAAACATTACATTGCAGTTTAAGTGTCGCCAACTCCGTTTAAGAGATCTCTCCCCCGTCCGTGTGCGAGGGGGCGGGGCAGTTTACACACACGCAGCTGCTACATGCAGCCAGGACCGCCCCTCCCTACAGGCCAATCACGCAGGCTGCATGGGGCCCCGCCTTGCGCAGGGGGCCCCGCCCAGAGGGCCTCAGCTGCTTTGCGCAGTTCTCCGCTCAGCTCTCAGCGCACCCCCCCCCCCCGCGAGATTAAAAGTGAGAGGTGACAAGGGGAGCACGTCTGTGACTCGACACCGTTGCAATGAATCGAGATCTGACCAATCACGGCTTTGATACGGCCACTAGTGCAGGTGAAGAGATGTCGGCGAAAAGACAGTTTCAGTCCGGCGCAAGCAAGAGGGGAAAAAAACAAAACATGAAGAAACTAGAGCATCACTCGAAGCCCGAAGGTAAGTTATTGTATGAGTCAAATGTACAACTTGCAAATGTTGTATAAGTCAAATTGCCAATTGCCATATTAAAACATCAGCTGCAATTCACGACATGAAGAAGGCAGTCTCTGCATAGCATATAATGAAGATGCAGTTATTTCCAGCATTCTTTATTTAACATGCATTCAAGTATGGTATGCCTTATGTACAGGAGGAAGAGTGATAAACTGTCTGTCTAGTTGGCTTACATAACAGTTAAAGTTTACAGCCTAAAAAACATGGAGCATTTTTTCCCCTTTTATTCATTTGTATGTCAATTTGCACATTTCATGGTGATGCTCAGCCTCTCCCCTTAACTCCTAACAGTCATCATCATGTCAACCACAACACAGAGAAACACTGATAGAAATGTGTGTGTAGTTGTTGATACATTGCTGACAGAGGGAACTACGTTTGAATACAGATTTAAGAAATGTCAGTTTTTGAGCATGTCATAAGCATGTTTTGTCTTGACTATATTACAACAATATTATAATAAAATAATATAGTATTTATATTATTGAATTGATTATGATTATTATTATTATTAGTAGTAGTAGAAGTAGTTTATTTGCATTAATTATATTTTAATCTTTTTGAGGCTAGTATTTGGCAGGAAATGCAGACGTATTCACCTGTAAACGCATACTGAACAACATACATGCACATTTACCATTTACCTCACTGTATAAAAAAGTAACTGTTGATAATAATAATAATAAACAGGAATTATATTTGCAAAGTAGCCTACTTTGTTTCCAAAAAAAAAAAGTTCACGGGTTTCACATAAGTGAAGAGAAGACAAAGAGAACACTCAGAGCGACGGGACATGCAACCTCTGAGCTGAGTTATTGACAGATTCGAATTTCGCGGATCAATAACTCATGAACATAACGTTGTAAAAATACAAACAACATGACTTTACAATCATAGCAAGGTAGACAACGAGCTACGGAGTCGTTTTTATCAGAACAGTTCGATACGCGCCGTCATCCGAGCTAAACATCAATAATTGGTCACAATCTGCAGCTGGAGGAGGGAGAGCAGTGCTTAGGGACCGTCTACAAACTGCAACAGGGTTTTGCAAGATCTCGCAAAAAGTATTGCGAGATCTCGCAAAACATTTATTTTTTTCAAATAATTTTGTTTTCTTCTCCATGTCCCCTAGGCAGGGGGCTCCGTACTAATCAGCGTTTTAATGGCATTTTTACATGACTTCTTCCTAATCAACCACAGAGAAATGTGTTAGATGCAAAAAAAACTGCTTTTTAACTACAGCGGGTTGTTGATTTACATTTATCAACATTTGTGAATGAGAGTAAAGGCAGAATTCTGTGGTAGACCTGTTTTTCTGCTCCGGGTAAATAAATTGAACAGTTTTGTCTCCAATTTAGAGCAACAGTTGATACCTCTGTGTTGTGAACCCATGGGTTCCATGGTCAATTAACTTCACCATCAAGGTACTATATTTCTGGTAAAGACAACATGGAGCGCCTCAATTTCCAGACTAAATGAGACGAGTTTCGCTTTTTACCGCGTCATTAGACAGAGGAGATGAGGCAAGAGAGAGGAAAGAAAATCAGAATATAATGAGAGAGCGTTAGAAGAGAAAACATCAGAACATTAACTGACACAAATGGAGGGAGGGAGACAAAGTTAAACGTTAACTGTTTGAACACATAGTTTTCTAACTTTTTTGCAGTTTGAAAGTTTGCTTGTAGTAAGGATTTTTTGGCCAGAAGCTCACGATAACACCACGTTTAATATAGTGACCCCTGATACAAAACCAGTGTGAAATCTGAGAAAACACTTGGCCTATCTGAAGCGGTATACCAATCAGAAGGAGATTCCTGTGCAAAGACATTCCTCTATAAAATCCTAATCCAGTGTAACCCGATGTGCACTAAACCTTTAGACTTGCAGTCGCCAGCTTTCTTGCAACATCCAGGGGAGCAATCCTAAATGTTAGATTAAATTCTCTACATCCTTGGTTAATTGTTGTTGAATGTTGTGATCTTAAAGGACCAGAGTGGCGAATTAAGGGGTATTTATTGTCTGAGATCAAATATTATATTTACAACTATGTTTTCAATAGTGTGTAACCTTCTCGAATTAAGAGTCCTGTTTTTGTTACATTATAATGAGCCTTCTTATCTATACTCAGAGTCCGCCATTTTGCACAGCCATGTTTCTATGCCATGTTACACTCATAGTTATACGCCATGTTTTGGTAGCCTAGCATGGAAAAAACGAACTGAATCTAAAGAGAAACTTTCATAATTATATGTTCAGTTGAAACTTGGATGTGGTGGCGAGAATGCAACTAAAGGCCACTGTATGGTCTCCTACACTCTGGGAAAGGTGGGATGGGTGCATTCAGGTGGCTGCAATCTGCCACCTGACCACTAGAGGCCACTCAATCCTAAACACTTCAAGTAAATATGCTTTGTTTTGAGAGAGTAAATTATGTTTCATATTTTAACACCAGTTATGTTAAGTGAGTTATCATAAAGAAGACTTACATCTGTAAATATATTTCTCCCTCTATGTGCATAACAGTATGATGTATGTGTTTAACACAAAATCACAGACATATGTTGCATTACACATTTGCTTTCTTTTCCTTCTTTGCTATCACTGCAGTGGTATATTTTAGAAAATATCATCAATATATGTGCTGTGTTATCTACATCTTACCTTTACACTAAATCAAATACTTTCGAATATTATGGACATATCATATATCATTTTCTATTTCAGCATTGAATTTGTGAGATTTGTCAGAAATGTTTCTTGGAACAATGAAGAATTGCCTGTAGTTGATGCAAAAATATTAACGGTTTTATCTTGGAAACATGAAATACAGATAGTCTGAGAGTCTGCATGTGTCAAATGACAACACATTCTTAATATGCATCATAGGACAACAAGGTCATTATGTCATAATGCAGCTCTCGAATAATGAACTTTTGTACCAGGACAATGTGAAGTGTGTTTGTTTGAAGTGTCAAACCGCACTCATAATGGGATTCTTTGGGAAATATACAGAGCAAAGATCGAACCAAAGAAGTCCTGATGCGAGGAAAGCAACTTGACCCAGATCATGAAGATATATGAAGTACATGCTCATACTTCTGTGCCTTTTTTGGACCCACAAATATTTCAGAATCAGGTGTCGTAACAACCGCAGTGAGGATAAAAAACGGTCTGCTCTTCCATGGAGGTGAGAGTTTTCATGGGAGTGTTACTTAACTCCAGGAGACCCTCCGTGTTTCAGCTGGCTGCACTGACTGCCTTTACAGCTCTGCAGGTGCAGTGTGACACAGGGAGTGGAAAACATGCCTGAAGAGAATGTGTGATAGTTGGCAGGAGGATGTGTGTGTGAGGCTGCTGTGGAAGACAGCGGCTGAGACCTTTAGAGAGAGGCTCTGGCCCGTCACTTTCCTGCCTGAAAACAGAAGAGGGAAATACACAATAAGCTTTACATGCAGACAGGAAAAATAAGGGTTGGCAAACATTGATGTCCACTTTCTGTGACAGAAACAAAGCAGAGGCAGAAAGTCACTATTTGACTTCTTTATTTATTTGAAGGTTGTCGTTTACACTGCTGAAGGAGCCTGGGACTTGTGATTTGTATTGCTCACAACTATGGTGTAATGTAGTGACTTATATTTACTCAAGTATTGTAATTCAGTACAATTTTGGGTTATTTGTGCTTTTCTTGAGTATTTTTATGTAATTTAAACTTCTACTCCACTACAATTTGGAAGCCAGTATTGTACATTTTACTTCACTGCATTTATTTGAGATAATTAGTTACTAGTTACTTTACAGATTCAGATTATTAGCTAAAACCAAATATAAGTAAACTAATAAATAAACTATGATATATAATTATAGGTTACGATATCCAGCAGTATATAAAGTAATTAAATGTAGCTCTATCTTCACCTGCTGTAATGAACACACTAATGCATCAAAATGAAATAATCCAGTAACTCCTGTAGTGTTTCTACTTTTACTTAAGTAAAATGTCTAAGTACTTCTTACACCTCTGCCCACAACTATGCTGTGACAGTTGTGCATATGACAATAAAGCCTCTGAATTTGAATCTAATGCATTACTTACACTCAATGTTCATAATAGGAAGGGGCTTGTTTTTCCTTAAACACAGCATTGTAATTGTAAAGTGAAGACTTGCAGTATAAAAAGTGAATGTGAGAATGTGATCCAAAGGTAAGGCCTTGCAGCACTCGACAACGATTGTGTCCTTGGAGAATTTTCCTTCATGCCCGCAGTTTTTATTCAAGCTCTCCATTTTAGGACTGATGTGGAGATCAAGTTGAATAAAGTTAGATCCTTAAGGAAGAGATTTGGGGAGCTGCGAGATACCCATCAGCACAGCCTGAAGCTGGTGTGATCAGAGCTCCAGGTTCCAACAGACAGACTGCAGAGGGACGTTTCAGCCAGAAAAGTCATGTGCTGCAGTAAGTCAGGAAAAAAACACACAAAGCTCCATTTCTAACCCTTCTTCATTCTGATCACGTCAATGTCAGTTAGCTTATAACAGAGTTGTTTTCTGCAGCTCTGAAAAGTATAACCCTTGATGATTAAGAAAACTTCTGATGTTTTTAAAGGGGTAGGTTGTTCTGCAGTGTCGGGGTGTAGAGTGTGAAACCACAGAATGTGATCATGGGTGTTCCATGATCCATCCTAATCTAACCTTTTTGCCCTTTGACGTTTATGACCAACCCTTACGTTATCTCCCATTTTATTACCGGGCAACTCTCGTTCCTTCTGTGGACTCCAAGGTGTGAAATCTTCGAGGCCATGAGTGTCAGACGCAAGTAACTCAGTGTTCCCAGCTGTTTAGGCTATCTCCTCAAATATGTTGATTACTCTCTGAAACCAGTTAAAAGGTCTCGCAAGAGAGAGGCGCTTCAGAATTGACGTGGCTCTCCCGTGCAGTCAGATCGTGACTGCTGTGACTTGTGATGTGAATCCTCCGGCCGATACTCCTAAATAAACCATCAGTGTTTAACATCAAAACTCCTGCTCATCCCGTGTCTCCTTCATGAGTCGGTGACTCCCACTGCATTGCTACACGAAGTTTCCCCCACAATGGGTATAGGCTCCTGTGGTGTTGTGAGCTAGGCCGATTGCTTCAACTTATTTCACCACTTTTGTGACCACTTCCTCACACTTACATATCTCCTAAATAGAAAACCTGTTACTTGTAATAGTTAAGTGAATGTTGTGTCAGACCTTCATATTAAAGTTTAGAGGGCAGGTCCATAATTGTTTTTAAGGTGTTTATAACATTATGCAAGAGCCCTGTGGTGTTCCTTATGTATTCAAAACAAGGATGCATGTTTATGCGTAATAATAAATGTTCCCTAGCCTTTCCTTAAATGTACCAGTGCATAACCTTTGTTTATTATGACCAGTGTTGGGACTAACACGTTACAAACTAACGAGTTACTGTAACGCGACTACCTTTTGCGGTAACTAATAACGTTACTTGTTACCTATTCCCATTCGGTAACACCGTTATAGTTACTGTGATTTAAATGGGTGCGTTACTGCGTTACATTATGTGATCCAACTGAACCGAATCTCCCTGCGGATGTAATTTACAGGCGAATACAGCGATGTCCTCTCACAGTACCATGGGAAAGTGACCAGAGAGGAGTGATGATTGGTTAACGCGGGGTAACATTTCAGGGTAAGCCAATCAGAGACAGAGTTGGGGGGGTCTTGCCTTATGGGGAAAATACACGGGCCGTTTCTCAATCTCTAGGAAACTGGCTTCCAAGCCAATATTTCAAGGATGCTACATCATCGAGTGCCGCCGAAGGACTGTTCCAATCTCCAGCATACTTGGAATCCCACCGAGGCCGCGTCCTTGGTTTGGGGGTAATTTGGAGGCTGCACATGGGTAGACTTCGCGTCCTTAAAATCCCCACAATGCTTTGCGCACGGACCAATTTCAAAAACCCTTGCGGAGAATGGCTGAACCGACGCAGCACACATTTAAATGTAAGTAGGCCTATGTAGTGGCGTAGAACATGTGTTGTTAATATTGTTACTTTGTTACATTTGTTTTGTTATCACCAAAAAATGTGTTCCGTGAAAGTAAAGCAAGTTCATAATTAGATAGACATCGTGAGGTATTATTTTCGGTACAGTTTATGTTGAAACCGTTAGAGTAAGTGGCACACTTGTTAGTCTGTTCCATTCTTCTTCGTTTTCCGAAGCCGTGGCTTGGAAGTATACTGGCTTCGTTTCTGAAGGAAATGACTTGGAAGTACGCGACTGCCAAGCCAGCATCCTCGCGATTGAGAGAAACGGCCAACCAAACACACACACACACACACCACACACACACACACACACACACACACACACACTACACACACACACACACACACACACACACACACACACACACACACACACACACACACACACACACACACACACACACACACACACACACACACACCACACACACACACACACACACACACACACACACACACACACACACACACACACACACACACACACACACACCACACACACACACACCACACACACACACACACACACACACACCACACACACACACACCACAACTTGGAGTTATAACCACTATTTTCAATTTGTGGGGATAAAGGACGCAACAAATATTACGGTCAAATGTAAACTGTGTGCAGGACAGAAAGCATTGTCCACATCGAATAACAGAAATGCCAATCTCCTGAAGCACCTAACTAATGTACATGTGGGGAGTTGTCTTTTATCTTACTGTGTCACAGAATAACACAAACACTTGTATTGTTATTATTTTTTAAAGTAACTTGTTACTTTTATAATTTAGTAACTAATAAAGTAACTAGTTACTTTTTTGAGAGCAGTAACTATAACTATTACTAGTTTATTACTTGCCCAACACTGATGACTAACTACTACATCCTGCTTTTTGCCATTCGAAACACTAAGAAGAATGCCGATGGAGTCGACCTTTAGGCGTTCAAAATGGACCGAACCCAGAAACACTGACAAGCACCAACACTTCGTAGTTGTGTTATATTCATTACAAGACCCTCTTTTAAAGTGAAAATGTATCTTTTTATTGGTACCATACATTAATTATCAAGGGCAGAAACTAACCAAATCAAAAAATATATATCAAACAATGATTTTTTTTCTACAGGGATTGAAAAAAAAGGTACAAGTCACCATTCAAACTCAGTCATAACTGTGGCTGGAATCAACTGTAAGGAAATGGAAATGTACAAAACAAAAAGAGCTTCAGCTGTTTTTAAATCAGACTTTACAAACTCCGCATTGCTACCCAATAGGACGACTGAACTTAATGTTAAGCTGGCTTTAGAAGATGTCTGGGTGGTTGATGGTATCATTCGGGTGGTTGTGAAAGACACTGCACAAATGAAGGCGATTTGGACAGAAACTTCATTTTTTTTTTTAAATCAGCTTTAGCCAGTGAGGAAAGATGAAATTCACCGGTTAACAAACATTGTGTGAGCACATTCACTTGACATCAAGTTGAAAGTTGCAGTACACAAAATTGTGATAGATGCCAAGTGGAAAATCACTTCCTGTATAGATGAAATATGTGTCAATTTCAAAAATGTCCCAAAAATAAATTAAGAAAGAAAAACTGAAAACTGTAAAATCATCACGCTATGGTGCCGTTGTACCCCCCGGAGGTTTTGTAATTTAATTTACACAAGTTCTTAAAAAAGAGGGAGGGGGAAAGAGCATGTGGGAAGGGGACAGGTTCATGAGTGTTTTTTCTCCTTTTTCCTATTTTTGTTTCTTTACATTAGATCGGGATGGCTTTAGGTAAATCTAAGTAAGAATACATTTTATTACAGTCAGACAGAACTTTGCTACTACCTTAAATATACAAGCACAAATACACAAATTTAAATCTCCAAAAAAAAGGAACGAAAAGACAAAATAAAAACATCCACACTAAATTATTTCTCTTTTATAAACATAAAAGATAAAAACAATATACTTTAGAGGGGGAGGGATAAAAGTCCTGTGTTGCTCCTTGGTCTGTAGCTTTTCAGTATTGGTAGAAAATAAAAAAACAACAATTGAAATGAAGGCGTTTAATACAAATTAAAAAACATTCTAGGGAAATATATACTGTATAAAAACTCTTAAAATGTGTAACTGTGTGTGTGTGTGTGTGTGTGTGTTGTTAATGCTCTTCGTTTGAAAGACTGCATCCATGGTAGTCTAATCAGAGATGGCTCTGGTACTAGGGGACTCCTTCAATTATGTTCGTGTGTGTGTGTATGACATTTCCCTAGTGCCACATTTCAGCTGTCCTACAAGTGTGTGGATTTCAATGGTTTTATAGACGGACTCTGAATTCTGGGCTGTCTGTTTCAGCAAAGCCACAAGTAAGCCCCTTACTCGCTCCTCACACACTTCACACTCTCACACACACACATACTCTATTAACAAACGTTACCAGTGGCTTGTGCGTCGACGGAGCAGACCAGAATTGAGAGCAACTCGCCACCAAGTTGTGGCCTCGCTGACACCATCCCCTCCACCCCGGGCCCTACATGTTTATTCAGTACGGATGGTTTAGTGTGCACAGTTCTCCCCTGGATTAAATCCCTTGCGCCTCCTCGGTCACATCCACCCGATCTTTGACGGGACATTTGCGACAAGGAAAAGGGAGAAAGAGGGGAGACACAGTGGTTAAATATGGGGGAGTCACAGCATTGGCTCAGTGACGTTGCCTGAGACATGCCAAGCCCCCTCGGGCCCGTGTGTGTGATGACTCTGAGCTCTACAGTGATGTCTGGGTTGCTGCTGTTGCACTCGTGGCTGTCGGGGTAGGGATGGGGGGTCTGAGGAGTGGCAGAGAGGGGGTTTGTGAGGAGGTGGCGGGGCTCTACTGCGATGCCTGTGAGGTGGGGTTGTCGCTCTTGCTCTCCTGGCTGGAGGGGGCCTTGTTGTTCCAGGGCGAGTTGGAGCCCAGCGCCGGGGAGTTGTTGAAGCTGTCCTCGTCGTCGATGCCGTTGGCCGCGTCAAACTGCGTGTTCTCCAGCCGCGTGATCAGGCGCTCGTCCTCGTCGCCAAACTCCCCTCCCATCAGCGTGGGCTCTCCCACCACCATCACATCCTGCAGGGACGCAAAACAGGAAGCAGAGCCATCAATGTATTGTTTGACAGAAGATGAATGGCTATCATGCCAAGTAAAATACAAGAGGTAAATGTATTCATCTTCCACCTTATGTCAGAAATAACCTATTACTTTGTACACTTTGTGTCAAATGTTCATTAACCTGTTAAGAATGTGCCTTTGTAGTTCTTGAGGAAATTGACTTATTTACTATTAACCCTTCATTACACATGTGTATTTATCCCCAAATCGTCTGTCAGACCGTAAATACTTTCAGGCCATGTCCATTTAAAAAATGTGGCTATTCAAAATTGGCTGCACATGTGATTACATTTTCATATTTACTGTGCATTTAATATGCAATAGTATTTATTGTTTACGTATTTTTAGAGACATTTGTTTTCACTTAAAATAGTCCTGGGGGTCATGTGTCCTTATTTGGTCAGTTTAATGGCCTGTGAACTCCAGTTGATGTCTGAATGCAGCAGTGATGGTTGTGTTGGAGGTGTAATAGCAGAGTGCTGACACTAGATGGCAGTGCTTGTACTCACTGGAACTTGGCTGGACAGAGGGAAGCCACTGCCAGGGCTTTTCTTTTTGTTGTTGTTGTTATTATTAGTTCCTCCTCCGCTGATGGTGCTTCCACCTGACATCTTACGCTTCCGCCGTTTGTTCGGCGCCTGTCTTGATGGCTCAGCTGCAGAGAAGCGAGAGAGTTACAGATACATCTCCTGGGGGTTTATGTGGATGTATTTTCCTTTTATTCTACACTGTTCACTTACCTGGCGGTGCCACCATCCTCTGCCATTTCTGGAAGAGGCAGGTCTTGAGGCAGTCTCTGGGGCTGAGGCTGTACGTCTTGTGTCTGGACATCAGCTCCTGCATGGGCTCCAGAATTACACACAGCTGGAGGAAGGAACAAAAAGAGAGGCGAGTGAGTAAACATCACATTGTTCCGCCCCATCATTCTTCGCTGGTGTTACTGACTTCAAATTCTCAGATGTCTCAGGACTCAAGCTAATCCCATTTCAACCATGGTGATTTTTAAACTTGCCAACATGAGGTGACTTTTTTAGCATCTGTAAACCAGACTGAAACTGCAGTTCAAGTCTAACCAGTGCAGCCTCCTCCACAGCTCCACCATAACCACATCTCTTTGTTAAAGGTCCCATGTCATGCTTTTCCGGTTATTACCCGTCCCCTTGTGTGTTATGAAAGTGCTTGTGGAGCCTCGCAGCGGCGAAACTGTGGCACACTTACACTGTAGGTGTGTGGGGGTGCGGGTGCTAGTGGAGCCTCGCAGATGGGGGTGCTGCAGCCCCCTCAGCACCCCTCGCAGCAACCAGGGAATGAACCCAGCTCAGACTGTCCGCTCATCGCAGCAGCGAGCCGTGCAACGTCCCGCCAACACGGCACCCAGACCCCACGCAGCATTCTCATCTGTTTGTCATTGCTGGTGTCATTTTCTGGTTGGTAACAAACGCCATTGTAACACATAATCGCTGTAACGGTGGTGGACTCATCAGAACAGAGTGGGCGAGCTGACCAATCAGAGCACAGTGGGCTCACAGCGAGGGGGGGGGCAGGAGCTCCAACAAGCCGTTTAGGACAGAGTGAATACACATACTATACAGAGATGCTGTATGAGAAACCAACGTGATTTTGGAAAATTGAATGTAAATCTATTCTAGTAGACCTCAACAATGGAATTATGATCAGTAGAAATGGCCATGACATGTGACCTTTAAATATTGGTCTGGCTTTACGAGCTACATAGAAAACATGTGTTATGGACAGGGGTGCTCATAACTTGTTTGCCCTGGTTCTCAAAGGAGCACCTGGAGATGTTGCTTGGTGCGCATCCTTAAAATGAAATAAACCGGACCTTTTGAGGGGTACTTGACTTTATGAACGGAGGGGGGGGAGTTGCGCTAGTGAGCACGCTCATGAACTGTTTGCCGGAGCCTCGCAGCAGGGTTACTGTGCGGTTAGCAAGGGGTAGAGCGAGGGATCGCAGATACCGTCATGCTCGCGGACGGATTAAAAAAATTAAACCTAAATGGCTCGCAAATTATACTTTGGCAGCCGTTAATATACCTGGACGGCCCGCCAAGTAAAGTCTATGTGTGGGAAACCCTGCTATCTTACCAGTTCTTATGCAACTCGCAAATACCTCTCTCTCTCTCTTTTCTTTCTCTCTCTTCTCTTTTTTCTCTCTCTCTTCTCTAATCTCTCTTTTCTTTCTCTCAATGTTGGTGCGCAAATGCGCCTTTTTTCAAATGATCCAGTGCTCTTTTGTTGACGCACCAGTTATGTGCAGCCCTGGTTATGGATGTTCACATCACATTTTTTTTTTTTTATGTGTGACTGAATCTAGCTTTTTCCTTTCTGATATTGTTGCTTACTGTGGCTTTGTCTGGAGGTAGGGGTGGGCAGGACTTCGGTCTTAAAAATTTCAAGTTCTCATCATTTTTTTACTCTAGTTCAGGGGTGGGGAACCTTTTTCCTCTCAAGGGCCACTTCAATTTTTCAACATCCTCCGAGGGCCGTACAAATGATTGACCTCTGCTTAAAAATACTAAAATCACAGCCCATTCATTTCACTTTTCTTTCATGCTGTGCAAAGAAAAAGCAACCTCTTAATCCAGATATCTCACCATGACTCGTGTTTGCATGCACGTGCACGGTTGTGGCATGACCACCAAACATAAAAATGTTTACATTTCAAAAGTTAAAAGCATCAATCTGGTGCACTTTGAGAGCAACATTAGGAGATCTGTGGATACATCTCTCAACACCCATATGAAACAGAACTGTAAACAGATTTCTTTTTCTTACAAATCACTCCCCTTTTAAACTATATTCTTGTTTATTAATAATAACTACTTTTTACTGTCATATAGTATTTTATACCCGTTTACTTTATTCTCTTATTTTTTTATAACTATAATGATCATATAAAGATGTGCCTTTACCTCACTGGTGGTAGAAAAAGCTTCTTATATTCGTTAGCATAGCTAGCTAACCAGATGCTAATAACAACACAGTTATTGACTGTATGATCAGTATGACAGATCGCCACTGGGCTTTCAACTAAAGACACAGCCACGCAAAAACTGCGGCATGTGTACGGCTCCTTATGGGTACTGCAATTTTTGGATGTGCCGGAGTGACGTTCTGGTGCTCTCTGTCAGCACTGCACCCCTGTCAGATGAGACATATACCACGTGATGACACGTTAGGCTCGTGTTGTGTTCAAGGACCCTGACAGGAAAAACAGGCACTTGCTTGTTTAATTATTTTGCGGTCTAGATTTTAAATTGTTTGCGTGTGTTTATAAATTACCTCGAGGGCCGTACCAAATGGTCTCGCGGTCCGTATACGGCCCGGAGGTTCCCCACCCCTGATCTAGGGTTTATTTTTTACAGCCCCTCTACTTGTACTTTCTCCTGTAACCATTATATGTTTCAAAGAGCCAAATCAATCAAGTTAAACATTTTTTAAAACAGCACCATTATTAATAAAAAACCTTTCCTTTCTCTACATAACCTTTCTCTACATGTGAAAATTATTCCTCTAGAAACTCAAGTACGCAACTGTATTTGAAATCATGAAATATATTCCTTATTTACTAAATTGATTTAGTTTTGCAATTTCAAAAATACAAATGTGGACCTTTATAAACAATAATAAAATATCTTGTCATTTTTCAGAAACTATTATTATCCGATTAAAGGTGGGGTAGGTAAGTTTGAGAAACCGGCTCGAGCAGAGGTCGTGTTAACCGAATATTTTCCGTCTATGACCGATTTTTTTTAAACAATGACGGAAAAATCTGAAAGCAGTCCGTCATTTTGACAGATTAGAACAAACTCAGAACAGCGCCAAAGCTTCCCCGCAGCGAGGCTCCGGTGTTATGCATGCCCGCCAAAAAGGAGATAATATCGTTTCCATACCTAACTTTGCCGTACAAATCATTGAAATATCTTTGAGTACTTTACGCTGTGGCGCGCTCTTGCGAGGTGCAGTGGGCATGCAAAACACCGGCGCTAACAGTTAACGAGCGTCAGCCCCCCCTGTTGACAGTTCACGAGCGTGCAGTCCCCCCCCCATGATCTATGGCAAAATTGATGAAGCTCACTGACTCAAGGTACCTATAACTGGAAGCCACCTAGGTGTATTTTCTTAAATAGCTTTTCCCAAAAACACCAAGACCAGTTTCATTCTATAGGTAAAATGTTGTGAGTGCTCCACTTACTCGGAGGTAGTTGAGAGTGGAGTTCGACAGGCCACATCTTGTTATGTTTTTGGACAGCTGGTCCAGCATCTGTGGGTCCTGGGCCTGAGACACAAATAGTGGTCAGATTAAAAGGCTGAAACTCACTCACACATCACTATATACACACACAGACACTAGTGTTGTCACGATACCAACATTTTGGTTTCGATACCAAGTCAAGAATTGCGATTCCGATTATTTTTCGATACTTTTCTTTTATTATTTTCATGCTCAATAAAATTGTAGTTTATCTGTTAAGTGTTTTCTTACAACATGGTCTCTTCTTTATACTTGAGTTTATGTGATTTATTTGATAGTTAACTTTATATTTTATTAACATGTAATAGTACAGTAATATAAATAATTATTGACAAAATATACATTGCAGATGTTAGCCACATTGGTAAGTTAGCTAAAAAGATAGCCATATTAGACCGTTATCATTGCCATTAATTGCCTCGTCAAACTACGAAAACTTTCGTTTGTCACAAAATAAATTACACTTGTTTGAGTTAGATTTGAGGGCATGGGCTTGAGCATGATGTAATTATGTTATCACATTCGCTAACCTGTCTGTCTTTAAATTCTTTAAACAGCTCTGGATGCCGGTCGTCAGGTGCAAAGCCAAGTCTGATGTGTTGGCTCTCTTGGTTTGCAGGGATCTAAAACATGTCTCACAGACAGGCCTCGTGGTGTCCGTAGGCTTGCCCTCACTGTCAGAGATATAGCTCAAATACTTCCAAATTTCGCTTCTGGCGTCTTTTGTGTCAACAAGCCGAGGCGCAGCGGCAGCTGCACTCCCACTTGCAGCCATGCTTCTCCTTTTCTCACATGCTCTGGCAGCTAGCGCGTGGCCGCGTGCACGAGAGAGGGGAGGGACTTAGAGCGTGCTTGAGAGGGGAGGGACTGCAGGCACGGCTGCAGTGCAGGGAGTGGAAGCAGAGCGCTGAACACACACGGCTCTTATTAAAACTGCGCTTTCTCACCGGAGTACTTTCCCCCGTCATTCTTAAAGTACCGATACTAATGAAACGGAAGAATCGTAACGTCTTTTAACGGCAGGGTATCGTGGTACCTTTCAATTATCGGTACACCGTGCAACACTAACAGACACATCAGTGAACTATATGTAGCTGATCCCACTCCTACACTCATACTCACATGCATGGCCAGTATACTGCGGGGGATGAGTTCACGGTGTTGTCTGATGCTGAAGTGCCACGTCTTTATCCTCATCATGTCGTCAAACATGAACTCCAGGTACAAGCGTCCTTCTACACACACCTGAAACAGATCAGAGGACTCACGTCAGGATACAGTAGTTGAACTCTTTGTAATCTTTGCAGAAACAAGTAAATGTTGCACTGCTGCCAACAGGTAAATCAAACAATATATTGATTGATTTAGAACATGAGTTTCACATCAATATAATTATGTTCTCCATTTTTTTGAGTACTTGGACAGAATGCAATTATTAAACAGTGAAAAAGCAATGCAATTTTCCTCTCCAGAACACAAGTAATTGCTCTGAGCTTTTGTTCTGTGAAGGGAACGGTCCACGCTATTTCTTTTACACCACTGTTTACTGGAGTAAACTCAAGATTTCCCCCTGTGTTTTGCAAGTCTGATGCTCCATGAGTTCAAGTTGAACCCCTCTGGGCCTATGAATCTTTTTTTTTTTTTAAAGTTAGGTTTTAATTTGGTGCGCAGGTTGTGTCTTACATTAGAGATTCAGAAAAACACAGGCAGAGAAAGAGATAAAGAAAAGAGCGTCTTGACAGCAAGTTAGTAATCTGGATTCTATTTAACTGCCAATCTGCCACCAACACCCACAAATGATCTTGGTTCAACCCACGGTACTTTGGGAAGTGATTGTGATCTTGTCTGTCGAAGAGCAAGCGAACAAGCGTGTTTGAAGCAAGTATCAAGTCAGCGGTTATGTATCTGTGCAGTGTGTGTCCAGTTTAATTGTGGCTGAATAATTGCTACAACTCTTCCACTTGATAAAGGTCAAGGCGCTCCGGTTAGCACTGAAGCTAGCAGCGACAATAAAAACGCATTCCTTTATTTGCCACGCCCACGGTATGTATACCCATAATGACCCTTCAGGGAGACATGGTCCCATATGGTAAGAAGCGGAAGCTAAGAACCATTTAGAGTCAATTTGAATGTTTTTTTAAATCCATTCTGGCACATACCTCATCCAAAACGTATTTATTGTTTAGGAGAAATGTTATGCATTGTTTAGGAGTCACAAGCAAAAAGTCTGTATTTTTCTTATCAAATTTAAAGTGATTTTTATTCTAATCTGTAATAAAAAATTACATGAAACAGCCACACATATTTCCAACAAATTTAGAGACACAATAACAGCAATGATTGCAAACACACACACACACACCTGTGTAAACATGGGCTTTCCATTCTGGGTGACCATGGTGCACTGATCACAGTCAAGGGAGACAAAGTTATTGTGGAAGGACTCCTTGGGATGTTTCAGCACATAGTAGAGCTCAGTGGCACCGCCCTCGAATATACTCCGGAAGTACCTCGGGATCAACGTCCGGCCAATTGCTGAGGAGAGAAAACAAAAAGGGGCATGAGACAAAGTATAATATGAAGTCTATAAGAATGCAGGACTTTTGAGAGCAGTATATGTGTGAAAGGTAGAGGCAATATGTTCTAGTGACTTTGTTTCTTACTGTAACGTTTGGGTCCATCCTCCAGACAGAAAGTAATCGTCAACATGGCGTCGTCTTCAAAGAACTCTGTAGTAAATGCATCCCACCATAGGTTATCGCACTCCTACAGGGTTAAACAGGGGAGAAAATAATTAGTGACAAACACAATTCTTGGATTTTGTTTTTGGATGTGCATATGTGTGCCTACGAACCTCTGTCCAATTCTGTAGCCGTTTGTTGAGTTCAAATATTCTGTAGTCTGTCTGGTTGCCATATGGTGTGTGCCGCCTATCATAGAAAGGCAGAAGGAGGGGAAAACAAAAACAGGAAAGGGGGGTTGAGAACAGTTAGCTTCTGGTATGTGCTTCCATGCTGTTAGGGCAGTTTTACTACCTAGTTTAGCCTCGTCACAGACTAAATACAAAATCTGTTTTAAAAGTGAGATAAGAGCACAAGTTCCCACGGCCTAATCTTTACTTGTGTTGTTGTTGCCTTTTTCACCTAAGCTGAAGATAATGGAAAACAATTCAGTCTTTTACCCTATTCCGGGCTCAAGGTATGTGGGAGGATACATCGGGGTGGGACTGGAGAAAATAAAGAGAAAGAGAGGTTATTAGATTGAGCTATAGCGCTAATATGCCCTCCTCCATTGGCTTGTCTGTCTTTATGAGTCTGGGATGCAAGCCAAACATGGCACAAATTGGATGATACAAGGAGACAGTAAATAACAACACTTCTCAAACACACAAACCTTGTCTTGCTCGGTGCAAGACAAGGTTTGACAGCACACAATCCTGCAGAGGTATAGACCTTAGACTAACTGATGAGTCAAGATAATTCAGTTTTGGCATTACATGTTAGTTTCTATTCTAACAGCTTTTACCCCTTAGTCAATGTAATTCAACAGGCATTTTCTTCGGAAGGGTAGGTGGCTAAAATAACACTACACTAAAACAAACAGGCATCTTTCACCAATCAACAGCAAATTGACAGGTGCACTATTTGGCTCAAAATCACCAATAAACCAAGAGGTGTCCCCAGAATCCGTTTCAACAAGGTGTTCAAAAGAATGGACTCTATGCTGTAACCTGTACACTACACTAAAACCAAACTGAGCACCCGAGCCTGGGAAATGTAGTAAACCATTGAAGTGTTATTCTGATTATTACATTACATTGCATTTAGCTGACGCTTTTATCCAAAGCGACTTACAATAAGTGTGTTCGACCAACAAAATACAACTTGATGAAAACAGAATCATATAAGTACATCAGGCTTCATAGAGCCAAACATTTCAAGTGCTACTCAACTGGCTTTAGATAAGCCAGTCCTTTATTAGTATAAAAGTGCTTCGTTAATAGTTCTATCGCTCGAAGTAGAGTCGAAAGAGATGAGTTTTCAGTCTGCGCCGGAAGATGTGCAAGCTATCTGCCGTCCTGATGTCAATGGGGAGCTCATTCCACCATCCTGGAGCCAGGACAGCAAACCCACGTGTTTTTGCTGATGGGAACTTGGGTCCCCCTCGCAGCGAGGGCGCAGCGAGTCGTTTGGCTGATGCAGAGCGGAGTGCACGTGCTGGGGTGTACGGTTTAACCATGTCCTGGATGTACGAAGGGCCAGATCCATTCGCAGCATGGTACGCAAGTACCAGTGTCTTGAAGTGGATTCTAGCAGTTACCGGAAGCCAGTGGAGGGAGCGGAGGAGCGGAGTGGTGTGGGAGAATTTAGGAAGGTTGAAGACCAGACGAGCCGCTGCATTCTGGATGAGCTGCAGAGGTCGGATGGCACATGCAGGTAGACCAGCCAGGAGGGAGTTGCAGTAGTCTAGGCGTGAGATGACGAGAGCCTGGACCAGAACCTGAGTCGCTTTCTGGGTCAGCTGGGGACGTATCTTCCTGATGTTGTAAAGCGTGTATCTGCAGCAACGGGTTGTAGCAGCGATTATAGAGTGTGAAGGTCCAGTCTGTGCACCTGCCTTTACGAACGCAACACTACCAGGGATGTAGCTGTTTTTTTAACTTAATTTTTACCAATCTATTGTCTGAAACCAGTTTTCTGGTACATTTGAAACCTAATGTCCATCTTCATTTCTTAGAGTGTTTGTTCATGAAGTTTATAATCGGGTATAATGTTGTTGAATCATGATATTCAAGAATAAAATGTGGATAACATGGTAATATGCACATGTAAAATAGGGCTGGGCGATATTGAGAAAATCTAATATTTTTGATAAAATACCTTAATGTTAATATTGCCATTATAATCAAAGTTGAACTACCGATGCTTTCACTTAAATGTACGCAATGATATTTTTGATAAATAATAATCAGTGACATTCAAATAATGATTTAGTGGGTAAAGCAAACGATAGAACAGCCAGAAAAATCTGGTAAATTCTGAAAAGTAAATCACATTACTGTAATGAAACACAAAGGACAACAAATGTTTTAATTAATGCTGTCAAAATTATCGCGTTAACGGCGGTAATTCATTTTTTTAAATTAATTGCATTAAAATATTTAACGCATGTGCAGAATGGCCCGCCCCATACATCCCACCAGTGGCAGCGCCAGGGTATGGCTGGGGTAGGCTACACCCATACCAAGAAATGGCTTAGCCCCACCATGAAAAATGATGTTAAAGTAAGCAAAATAAAGTCTGCCAACTCGCGGAGTAAATTGCACAGACAGCAGTTAGTCAGATTGATTCCAGTAGCCACTTGTCTGGAAATACGGAAGACCAGAAACGGTTTTGAAAACTTTTGTCACGTAGTGATCGTCTTCTCAATAGAACATCTTTGATAACGTCTTCTGGCCAATCAGAATCAAGATAACGGCGTGGTGTTGTTGCAGGAAGTCCCGACGGAGAATACTTTTGCTGTAGTACAGGTAACACATAACTGGTACGCAGGTTATGTGCGTAATCTGAAATGCGTACCGTCACTTGTGTCACAAAGCGCATTTGCGTACCGACGTACTTGTGAAGCTTTTCCAGAAGGCGGTTAGATCACCGGACGACAGAGTCGGTCTCCGTGTGCACAGACAGGGCTGCTGTTAACGTCGGTCTGTACAACGGAATTGTGCCAAAACTACGCCAACCGGCTGCGGAGGGAGACTCCCCCCCCTTCACTGGAGAACTGCGCTAAAACAGCTGATCACAACGTTCACACTCTGTGGTCACGAAGTACTCCACTAGCCCCCCCCCCGTTGACTTTCCTGAAGTACTCCCCCGTTGATAGAAATCAACACGTAATGAATTAAGACCCCACGGTTTGATGATTGATAGGTGCTCTCTTTCATTTTGACACACAGAAAAATGTTACAATAAACATGTTAAATGGATATATCCGCCTTCTTTCATTTATCTTTCCATTCCCAACAATATACATAAAGAAATGGCATATTTTGGACATAGTTCGAATGGTGATTAATCATGATTAATTAATTTTTAAGCTGTGATTAATCTGATTAAAAATTGTAATCGTTTGACAGCCCTAGTTTTAATATATCAAAAGTCAAAGGCGATAACGAAACACGTATCCCAATAATGATATACTGTTGATATATTGCCTATCCTTAATATGACAATATTGTGCAACAATCCAGCCGGCTATAAATATAGGCTTTTGTAAAGTTATGGTTCCAAAAAGTCTCTCCTTGACCTCCCGATACTGATATTTTGAGTGGAATACATATTTCCCAAAAAATAGATAACGGCATCTTTCCCATTTTTCTAAAGTTGTCACGATTTTTGGGGTATTGTGACTTCCTTTGGCAATGATAATCATGCAGCAAAATCTGATATTTTGATGCAAAATAGAACCAGTCACTTCAGTTCAAATTCACAAAACGGTTGTTCCTTCCTGTGGCCAGGATCAAAACTACTTTCTACAGTTTGCTGATTGGCATGACTACCAGCTGCCACACTGAATCTATTACCAGTGGACATTTTCCAGACTAACATATTGTTGAGGAAATTAAACTCATGATACTGAGGCTGGATTTGCTTGGCTGTGTAAACATGGCGTGCAATAATAAAAGCACCTGTCGAAGATGTTTAAAGGCTGCAGCTTGAACTCCTAACCCAGAGCAGATACACAAAACACAAAAAACACAAGGACATTCAACTCACCCCACGTCTCTGTCCAGCATGGTGCCGGGGTGGAAGGGGGGGAAAGTGCTACCGTTGGGGGGCTCCTTCGGGGAGTACAGTTTGAAGGACTTGGAAGAACAGCCTGTATGAGAGATACGAAAAACAAGAGAGAACATAAGAGTTTCATTTTTATAATATAGGCTAAGTTGTTTGAAATGTTCGAATGAAATCCCTGAAAATCACGACGGTGTGCTCTGGTAAATCTGGTTATAGATAATGGGTCTATTAATCCACAAACATAAGGATTATCAGTGCAAATCTTTCACGATTTTGTTTTTGTTAACCCAGCTGTAAATAAAGGCCTAAATTATAAGCCAAAGCCGAAAAAACTCAAATGAGAGAACACACAAAAATGGTAACAGAACAAGTCACTTCACCCTCGGGAATTACAGTGCTGCTTCGAATCACAGTTATTCACTTTTGGAGTGACACTTACAGTACAAAGACTGACTACCATGTGAGCGAGAAGGCACATGCAGCCTGAACGGGCCAGTGTGGCCCAGTTTCAGTTGGCTGCACTCATTCACAGGTCATCCCAAATACACCAATCTTGTTTCATGAAGGCACAAAACAACAACAAGATGAGGAGGAGCCTCTTGTAAACAAAGCGCTTCTACTGAACTCCCACAGAAAGTGCTGCCCAACAACTCCATAAATAACCATAAAATACCAAGCAGACCAATACTGACTGTTCACACCAATAAAATAAACCTGATGAATCTTTCTCTCACACATACTGCTGCAACCGTTGTTCTACTCTAATTGCCCAGCTCTGCAATAAAGGCCATCCAGGCGTGCCAGCCTCCAGGTCATGACCCCTGCCGTCACCATGGTGAAGCCCCGCCTCATTAATGTCTCTCTGTCTTGTCTCTGCATATTAAACGTCTCTCTGACTATGTGTGCATGTATGAAAGAGATTTAAATCTAGAGGCCTAGACAGGGAGAGATAAGCTTTTATTGCATTCATAGGAAGGGAAACAGCAGAAGTCATGTGAGATATAATATATATATATGTTTAATTATAAATGTTATATAAAACAATGACAATGTAAATGCCTCTCTTCGTTGAAGGGTTTAAAAAAAAAAACACAACATTTCAACACAACATTCCTTACCAAAGTACTCTTATTGTATTTTGGTCAAAGAATGTGTAGTTATACAAAATGCAGATATCAACAGACTGTATGGCCTGACAGCCCAGTCATAAACTGACCTTAGGGGCCACACAAATACATATCATTGTAGTGTGACTTAATTGTGTTCGCAACCATATAAACCAAACTTCCCTTTAAACAAAAAAGTGCATCTTTAAGAAGACTAACAACATCAGGGTTCCTACTGTACTTTAAGCTACTCTTATTGATAAGGGATACATAAAGAAATAACTTCAGATCTTCAAAACAAGATTTGCACCATCTAAATGGCAACCAAAAAACATCCATTAGAAACCCAGCCTTTACTTTATGTAAAAGCAAGTTGTTTACTGTGTGAGTCAGGCCTGCTATATGCACCACCAGAGGAAAACAAATGGGTTTGATAAATAAATAAATAATCGATGGTTATGTGTCCATTAGTTGTTGAGAGCTCCATTAGCTCCTCTCCTCTCCTGTTAGCGGTTAATGACAGGCAGTCACAATCACATCAGCTGGACTCCACTTCCTCCACTGGGAATCATGTTCCTCTACAAGTAGACACACTACACCATATACATATTATACATCACATTATCTTCCTGGCTTGATGTAATGGGCAGCCCACCCTCAAAACAAATCTCGACTCAAATGTTGAGTAACATCGACGTCAAAAACACAGCTAGCATTCCATTTCCTTTGAACACCAACCACAGAAAAGCAAGTCAGCTTTACAAAGTCTCCTCTAAATAAGAGTAATCTATAGTGGTTTTGCTACTCCAGACTGCCACCATAATTGCAAAAAGGGACAAGTAGCCCATCTAAACGGGATATTGACGATAGCTACATGGTAAACCATTAACCTACGTTAGCAAACTTTCTACAAAAAAAGACATGAAGATGAAGTTGAGTTTCGTAAGCAGCACCTAGAAATGTATTTTCCAATGTCTGTGGAGTTTATAACTTTACCAGTCGAAGGACATCTGACGTGCAGTTGTCTGCTTACAAAGGCAGAGGCAGCCAGCGAATAATGCTAACACTTGTGTTAGCTAGGCTAAAATGTTAAACAGGTGATATCAGGACGCCCGTGAACTTCGCTACAAAATGCCCACCACTTCTCTTTTTAACAAGCCCGACAGCTATGTAAACATAGACCAAACACGACAAACAAACTCGAGATCTTGAACCACCAAATGTTCAACCCTGCCCCATGGGCCTGCAAGGCAAGCTAACGTTAGCACAGCTAGAACACAGTTAACAGTTAGCTGGTGTTAGCCGAGTTGCTAACGCCTTAGCGTTAAATCCCCTTTCAACGAGAAAGCACCGAAATAAAATGAGAAAGTCACAACCACGGCAGCCCGTAAACCACATTTAGGCACTACAACAGTGAGACATTGCAGTCAAAGTGTGTGTTCGGAAAAAGCGACCCTTTACCTGCAAAGAAGTCCAATCAGAAAATTGATGTTTACAGATCCGTGATGATAGACCGTGTGTACGCTCCGTGCGTAAAAACGGATAGGCCCGCTGGACGGCGGTTGGCTGGACGCAACGTACCAACACAATACGTCCCCCTGAACAGGATCGATGAAAAAATCTCCTCTAACCGCGAGACTGAAACGGAATAAAGCCTAAATTGCGGGAGTCGGTCGGTTATGTTTTGTCCCGCATGAGGCCTTGTCAGTGGGCTGAAGCCTGCTGTGGGTTTACATACGGACCCAGATGAGCCCTTTGTTCACGGGAGGACATGAACAATAGCTGTAGGCCCTCCTCCTCCTCTCCCTCCGCAATGCATTTGCTCCTCTATCCTCTGCCCAGCACCGCAAGCCGCCCTCTCCCCCCTTATCTCCTCTCCTCCCCCCCCCACTAATGCACAACTGCACATGAAGGTTGTCTGGTAAGCATTTTTTTCTTCCTTCTTAACATCCCATCCCTTCCTTGTAACTGACACAGATGAGAATTGGCCTAATGCAGCCTAGTGGAAGTGTGTTTGGAAATAAACATCATGCTGACTGCTAAGTGGTTTTCATGTTTGCCTAATTAGTGCACATCAACAACTAATCTGAGACAGTGACAGCCAAGACCCTGGTCATATGCATAATACACCATGGGTGCACCCATGCAGAGTGAGGCATCCACTGCTGAAGCAGCAGGCTGATCAGTTAAAAATCTGATCAAGATCTTACAAATTAGCTTACATTTTCGGATAACAGACTATTGTTTACAATTAATTTAGTCTCCCAAGGTAGACCCGGAAAGCCATTACCATAGGGAATTTCTCTCTCTGCATACACACACAAACACACATACAAACACACACAAACAGGAAGCACTAAGCCAAAGGGAGAATCCTATAGGCCTCTAAATCTGCTTAAATCGCCTCAAATTATAATCAGATATTCAGATCACAGCCAGCCACGGCTCGCCCATATGGCTGAGGTTGGGATATAAAAAGAACAAGCAGTATTGGGTCAGTAGTTTCTTCATATATTTATAGAAGAATATGTCATGATATCTGCTTATTTCATAAACACTGTTTAACCCCTAAAAGATGACATGTGATCCCATATCAACGTTGACAAATTATTTCCTTTCAAACATGGAAGTGCTTTCTTCCGCTGTCTCAATTATTGCAGCCACCAGCATGAACGTGGTTCTGATTTATACACTACCCATGTACTAGGAGAGTGAAAACACAATGTTTCATTAATGATTTATTCACAAATTAAGCTGCTCTTGGGAGCCGCTCGGTGGAAACAGCTAACAGGCTTTCACAGAGGCTGCTGTGCAACTGAAGACCGGTGCTAATAGGTTACATTTGTATTACATCATAATTTAACATTATTTAGTTAGTATATTAGGGCTGCAAAATCAAAACTTAATTTCCTTATTGAATCTTAAACGTATTTCCTAGATTAGTAAATTGGTCTATAAAATGTTTCAACAAAAAATGGCCATCTTAGTTTTTCAAAGTCCAAGGTAATGTCTTTAAGGTCGTGCTTTGGAATCCTAAAACCCAACGTTCACATTAATATGATGTCAAACAAAAGAAAGCAGGAAAAAACTGCATGTTCTGCAAGTTTCTGCATGATAATTCTTGCAGCTCTTATACAAATATGTATGGTCCTGTAACATCATAACATATCGACCCCATTGTATCATACACTGGGGTCAGATACATTTTCGCATTGGTCTTACACATTTTGGATATTTATGATATATTATCATTTCCCCTCATACCTTAATTTATTTATTTTCCAATTGCTTAAAATGTTTGTATCTTTTTTTATAAAAAAAAAGCCAAACTGATAAAATATGCAAAGGTATAACAGAAATTAAGGTTAAATACACAAATTGAATTAATCATAAAAAATCAATGGGATGACATTGATTTGATTCATCATCCATGTAGTAATAATAAAGTCCATCAGTCAAACCTCCATTCGACCCCAATTATCTCAGTCCCGTGACACACTACTGTTTTAATTGTGGCTGCTCCATCGTCTGCGACATTCTGATGTGACGGTGCAGCAGGCATACATAATTATAATTTTTCATTGGATATTTTCTGGCCGTGTCTCATAAACTGTTCTTTTCTGCTTTTTTGACTACAGAGAGTTTTGCCTTACTCTGACATATGTTGCAGATCGTTTCTCTCTGGATATGCAGTCTTGGAGCCCTATATCCTCACATTTGCAACAGAAAGACAACAACTAGGATGCAGACGTCCTGGCAGACTCGTGTTGGAAGAAGTGTGGTGAAGTGCAGAGTCTCCCAGAAACAGACAAGTAGAGAGGATAAGCTGCTCTAAGGCCTGTCTCTCACCCGAGGAGCAACAAAGATGCTCGGGCTGAGTTTATGTACATTGGTTTGACCGTGCTAAGCGTGTGACACGAGCTCTTCACAGCTCACGAGGCTGCTGTCAGTCTTTTGGCTGCATCTGTGTGTGAGTCTAGTACCAGGGGGAGGTATAGTCAGCAGTAGCTTAGAGTGTGTGTTGTGGGTGACTTATGTGGATTTGCCTATCTTACATTTGCTGGCCCCTGTAGCCATGGCAACACAAGTAGTCAATGCTGTCACAACCGGAGCGAAGCTAAGAACCATCCATGGAAATGGACACACAAGGGTTAATCCTGTGTGTGTGTGTCTCCGGCGCTCACCCATTCAAATGGTACATGACGGGGTTAATCCTCAGTGTGTGTGTGTGTGTGTGTGTGTGTGTGTGTGTGTGTGTGTGTGTGTGTGTGTGTGTGTGTGTGTGTGTGTGTGTGTGTGTGTGTGTGTGTGTGTGTGTGTGTGTGTGTGTGTGTGTGTGTGTGTGTGTGGTGGGCTGACAGAGAAGAGGTGGGGGTAGGAGGTGTGTCAGGATAAGGCTTGAAGGGCTTACACACACAGTCTCTTTCGCTCTCAGGCATAGGGCAGGCCTTATCTACAACCAGCACCCCAACCAGCGAGTCTCTCACACACACACACACACACACACACACACACACACACACACACACACACACACACACACACACACACACACACACACACACACACACACACACACACACACACACACACACACACACACACACACACACACACAGCTGCCTTACCTTCACTTCACCAGTTAGCCCTATTTCAAACTTGCATTCACACCTGAAGCCATAAATCCATGTACAATAACTGATTAAAGCTGGAGTGTGAGGTTGAATAAACTCCCAGAAGTGCCTGATGTGATGTTTTCACTAAGCTCACACATAAACCGACAAGTGCAACTACTTTGTCAATGTAAAAGAAACAGACTTTCATTATTTTTTAATGTCTCAGACCACAATCCAAGAGAAACATCAAGAAAAAAAACTATGAGGCCTTTTCTTTTTCAGCTTTGTTGCTATATTTGACATCAGGAATTACTTCTTGAATCAGCTATGAGAAAGACCACAAGGAAAAGGTCAGGAAGAGCGACTTACCTCCCTCAGTTTCAAGCTGTTCTGACATCGCCATTTTGTCACCCACAAATGCACTTTCACAGCTATAAACTGATCTAACTCAAACACTTTTGGTCTCTGTTTTCATGCCTCTCCCTTCTTTCTGATATCTCCCATGTCCAGACTGTCAGGCTCAGGGGCACGAGAAAGAGGGGGGGGGGGGGAGGATGCCTACAGTGTGTTTGAGTGTAAATGTGTGTGTGCTCTCACGCACGGGTCGCCTGTGTATGTGCAAATGTGTGCAGCCTGCCACTTCCACTCACTAGTCAACAGGAAACTGAGCGGCGCACACATCTGCCAGAGTTCTGATAACAACCGTCCCCGTCACCCTGCCTTCAGCGTTAATCGCTGATCTGGAGACAGTCTAGTGTTGGAGTGAGAGCAGAAACAGCCCTCACTGAACTGATCGCAGCTTAGGGTGACATCAGTTCATTTGAGCTTTCTCTCAAACAGAAATAAAACACTCCTGTTCTCACAGATCTAATTCTTTGCTTTTCCCTGAGTGCCACGCCAACGGTACTGTTTCATGGCATGTTACCCTTTAAAGTCAGACATACTGTAAACACATCAATAGTGAAGACAGTCCCGTTCCTTTATATGGAAGCTCAATGTCTCTGGGGCTCTTTTCTGTGGACACTATCTGCCAGATTTGATACACTTGGCCGCTCAGGCCTCTTTGCTCTCTTCCTGGATCAGATGGAGGGACAGAGATCTGTGTGTCTGATTCAGCTCCAGGACAAGCTGACACTATTTCTGAGGAATAAGTCAGTTTAGAACAAACAGTCTGCCAGTCAGAATCTCCAACACTTAACTGCAGTGGAACTTGTACGCTTGTACATTTTGCACTATATTTTATACCTCGACCTGTACTTTCAAACTAAACTAAATTGTTCTGAGATCTTCTATTGATTCAGATTTCACAAACATAACATCTAATGACTTAAATCAGACGAAAATATTGTGCACTGTAAATTAAACACGAAAGAAATTACCTTCACCTCAGCTGACTACAACATAAAATGATATTTATGCTGCATTCAAGTGGTGTTGGAATATTGAAATAAAGTCGTCGCAACCTTGAAAAAATGTGTGTTGATTAGGAAAGGTTGGGGAAAATGTTGGTTCGGCAGATGAAAGTAAATGTTGGGTTAAAGATAAGAAACCGTTAATTAAATCATGTTTTGCACATTGATGTTTTGCTCATGTAACTTGTAACTACAAAGCCAAAGTAATCAAGACTGACTTGCTCAACCGCTTAGAGATGTCCTGCCCCTTTGCCTATCACGTACAATGTGTTGGAGCGCTAGCCAATAGAAGTTCGAGTGTGACATGGTGATGTCACTACGTTATAGAAGTAAACAAAGGAATACAATAGAGGCGTTTCAGACAAGGGGGGAGTGTGGCAAAGAAACTCCCTCTGGAGGGAACTTTTGGATTTTAGCCTTTGCAGACCGTTTACATGCATAAAAACCTATATAGTATAACACTACACAAAAGGGAAAACCTCAGATAGATAACTTCTTCAAACTAAGCTGTTAAAGCAAAAGAGTCCAACCCAGATCCAAGATTCATTTAACTCGAACCGTCTTTTTATAAATGTAACTAAATGAACATAACTTTTACTTGTCATCCAGTTCTAGTTTATAACTAAACAATATTAATAATCGTATTTAATATGATTCAAACACATTTAGTAAAAATTGTATAAATGTTCTTCATAAATTGAAAAGGAATTACAAAGGTATTTCGGCATTGCCGAGCTTACTTATCAAATAAAAAATGCAACCACTGCTTATTTATCAGACAGGAAATAGCTTTTGATGCGGCAGCAACGACAG